GACCCTTGGTGGTGGTGTAGTGTGTTAGTGGACCCTTGGTGGAGGTGTAGTGTGTTAGTGGACCCTTGGTGGAGGTGTAGTGTGTTAGTGGACCCTTGGTGGAGGTGTAGTGTGTTAGTGGGCCCTTGGTGGTGGTGTAGTGTGTTAGTGGATCCTTGGTGGAGGTGTAGTGTGTTAGTGGACCCTTGGTGGTGGTGTAGTGTGTTAGTGGACCCTTGGTGGAGGTGTAGTGTGTTAGTGGACCCTTGGTGGAGGTGTAGTGTGTTAGTGGGCCCTTGGTGGTGGTGTAGTGTGTTAGTGGATCCTTGGTGGAGGTGTAGTGTGTTAGTGGACCCTTGGTGGAGGTGTAGTGTGTTAGTGGACCCTTGGTGGTGGTGTAGTGTGTTAGTGGACCCTTGGTGGTGGTGTAGTGTGTTAGTGGACCCTTGGTGGAGGTGTAGTGTGTTAGTGGGCCCTTGGTGGTGGTGTAGTGTGTTAGTGGATCCTTGGTGGAGGTGTAGTGTGTTAGTGGACCCTTGGTGGAGGTGTAGTGTGTTAGTGGACCCTTGGTGGAAGTGTAGTGTGTTAGTGGACCCTTGGTGGAGGTGTAGTGTGTTAGTGGACCCTTGGTGGAGGTGTAGTGTGTTAGTGGACCCTTGGTGGAGGTGTAGTGTGTTAGTGGACCCTTGGTGGAGGTGTAGTGTGTTAGTGGGCCCTTGGTGGAGGTGTAGTGTGTTAGTGGATCCTTGGTGGAGGTGTACCTTCACCACGGAGACTTGGTATTGATCGTGTAACTTTTAAGTCACTCCGCTCCAAGCGTAGTGAGTTATAATAATAATTGTGGTGTGTACTCGACTATTTGTACTCGCCTACTTGGACCTGCAGGATTGGGCTCTAGCTCTTGGACCGTCCCCGCCTTTGTGGAGGGGTTGTGAATGGAAATAGCGGAGAGGAATAACTAAATGAAGTAGCGGAGGAAAGTATCTGAGGAAAATAGCTGAGGGAAGTAGCGGAAGGAAGTATTGAAAGGAAGTTATGTAGAGAAGTATAGTGTAGGGAAGGCGTAGCCGAAGAGGAGGACCCAGAGTGTCCTTCAGCAGGAGCAATCAATAGTGTGGTGCATCACCGCCTATCCTCTCCCTCCCTCTCTCCATCCTTATCTCCCTCCCCCTCCTTCCCCTCTCCCTCCACCCTTCCCTCCCTGCCTCGCCCTTCCTTCTTTCTCCCTCTTTTCTCATATCTTGCCATCCTTCCCTTCTGTCATGTCTTCCTCTTCTTTCTCTCTTTCCCTTCCTCCCTTCCTTCCCTTCCCTCCGTCACTCTCTCCCTCATCTACATCACTCCCTCCTTTTCCTCCCTCCCTGTCTGGGAGGGGGAAAAGTAGGGAGTGTCTCCCTCTGTCACCACCACACTCCTCCCTCCCTGCGTCTCCCTCCCCTCCTATAACTTCTTCCCCCTCTCTCCTCTCCTAAGGTGGGCAACACGAGGTTATGGTCTGCTACACTAAGGTATACTGGGTTACACTACGTCATGGTCTCTGCTACACTAGGCTATGGTCTGCTACACTAGGCTATAGTGGACTACACTAGGCTATAGTGGACTACATTAGGCTATAGTGGCTACACTAGGCTATAGTGGCTACACTAGGCTATAGTGGCTACACTAGGCTATAGTGGACTACATTAGGCTATAGTGGCTACACTAGGCTATAGTGAGCTACACTAGGCTATAGTGAGCTACACTAGGCTATAGTGAGCTACACTAGGCTATAGTGAGCTACATTAGGCTATAGTGGCTACATTAGGCTATAGTGGACTACAGATGCTATGGTGGGCCACACGGGGCTTCGATATGCCCTGTATGATAGGTAGTCTGGGATTTAGGGGTACAGTTAATTTTCAATGACCAAAAAAATAAAAATGGTAATAAAAAATAAACAACATTTGTTGTTGTTTCCTTTAATCATTATTAAGTTGAGTATTGTGAAACAGATTACGTAACCAAGACCAATCCTGCCCATGTGTGTCACATGATTTCATGTTAGAACGTGTTCCTATCACTCAATGTTGCATCACAATGCACGCTTGTTGCGCAATTTTTTCTTGGCTTAAGTCATTCTGGCGCGCTGCAGGCCCAATCATCCTTCTGTTCTCCACATTATGGAGGAGCCGCATCTGTTTAGTGTGTGGTGTTTGTGTCTCGGTGGTGATGACAACTGTGTCGTCAGTGTGACTATGTGCTCAACACATCCCGTATTACTTTTGTCAGTGACACATAGAATGGCGCGCTTTTTTAATTGAGACCGGTGGTGAACTGACTGATTACAGGTAGAGCTGAGACTGGTAATCTCAACTCTATATTGGGATCATTAGAGCTAACAGTCCCCAAGTGGGCATGTGAAGGCATAGACGACATTCCTCTCTTTCAATGTATTTGGTTGGGTTATGTGTCGGGAAAGTTTGTAATGAGTATGTTGCCGGTTTTCTTGCTCTTGTAGTATATTATTAACTCAGTCTTTTCGTTGGTGTCGGTAAGGGTCACTTTTCTATCAAAATTTCTTTCGGGACTCTTTCCTCCAGTTTGTGAGCCGCAGAGAAAGGAAGTTCCTTTAGAATATTACAACGGGATGGATAGATAATGTATTGTTGGCTGTTTCGTCAGAGACAGCATGGAGGCTCACCTTCCTTTTAGTGATCTCTCTCACACATCCGTTACTGAATCCATTACTGACTAGGCCCTGCATTACTTTACTGAGTTCTTCATCAACCTGCATACAACTGAGGTGTGTATGAGATCATGGTTAACAATAACAAACAGCAAGGCCCCATGAAAGAACACATAGTCTCTATACACAGCCAGATAATCACCAGATATACTGACAAACAACACTGAGATAATCGACAGATGCAAAGTGTGCTACTGTAGCTGACCCCGACTGACCTCTAACACTCCCATACCTCACATGCTTCATGTGTGAAAGTTGTGTAATTGAAATTGAAATAAGTTTATTGAGGTAAAATACACACAAAGGGATGAGGTAGCTCAAGCTATTCTCACCCCGTTCAAAGTTGTGTAAGGCTAGCCCCAAGTGTCTGGCCTCCAACATTGGACAGACAAAAAGACATTCTCTCTTATATGTGTGTATATCACGAAAATAAACACGTGATTAAGAATGTGACAATGTCAGACCACGGAGGAAAAATGAAACAGGAAATTTCCTTAAGTACTTTCGTATATTAAATACATCTTCAGAAGGTCTCTCTTATATATATAGATAAAATAAGTTAATTTTGTTAACTGAACATTTAAGTTGCACCCATTTTCTTGTGTCTCTTACATTCGCCATTTTTCAGTTTCACTCCCATCCTTAGAATCTCGGTCTTTTCTTTCACTTCGTTACTCTAACTTCGTCGCAATTTTCTCCTTACTTATGTCATTGTAAATTATATCTTAGTAAATTTCAGACTTTGTGTTTATTGTCACTAGGCCTATCTGACAGCCTAGCCTGGAGTACTACCGCGACTGGGGGAAGGGAGGTTCAGTACATTATGTGAACTGTTGCACATATATAACAGTGCACAAATTGTACTATTGGCAGTAGTAAGGTGACTTCTGAAAAGACAATACACGATACAAACAAGAAACTAAACACAAAAACAAAATAGTCTAAGCTTGGATAGGAGAACCTATTCTAGGCCTAACTTAACATATAATAAGCCTAATATGTTCCGTACCTGCACTATGTTAGGCCTAGAAAAGCTATGTTGTTTTCGCAGACGATGAGTGACAATAACGTGGCTGAAGATATGATGACCAGACCAGACATCAATCAGAAGATGGAAGAAACGACCACGTTTCGGTCCGCCGAACTTGCTCACACACGACTTGATAATGGTTCAGCACGGACCGAAACGTCGTCGTTTCATTCATTACAAATTACAAATTGTAGTTTGCTCATCGTATATTGTTCTTGTATTTTTTTAACGTGTGTTGTCTTCTCATATGTCGGATTACAAATTACAAAAGACATTGTGAGGGCGAGGCACTATGTATTAACCTATCCTCTCCTCCAAAAGTGATAGCACTACAGATTCTATAGATAAAGTGTATAAAATATGGACTGTTACAACTAAAACAGGTCCATTTTGGGCTAGTAATTTTGTAGAAGGTCCGAAAAAGAAGACAACATTCAGGCCTAACTCTTCCTAGGCCGAGTATAGTTAAAATATATACTAAATTAAATCATATATTGCGTGTGTGGTGCATGATTCCTTACTTTGGCCTAGTACACATTAGGTTCGTGTTTTCCAGTCTGCGTTATGCTCTTTAACATTTCAGTTGTACAAGGCGTGAATTTGTTTGAGTAAAACAGTCAATTATTTTGCATAATCCATCCTTAGAAGTATTACGTACTACAGGCATCATTTATGAAGGACGGACTGCAACCCCCCAGCCTACAAGGACTTGGACTTATTGGTAATTCTGTGAGTCATTTGTGTGTAATAGCTGATGAGCTCCAGTCCGCCAGAGTCTGGTGAAGAATCCTTATGAGCTGCACAGAAGGTCACTCTCCAGGCTGAACCAGAAACGCAGGCATTACCTAAATATAGTTATAGGATGAGAGCTACGCTCGTGATGCCTCGTCTTCTCAATGATCTTTGTCATGCTGTTTTCAAACTACTGCTGGTGCCGTAGTTTGAACTGCCCTCCTACTGAACTTGTTCCAACCTTCTACAGCTGTTCGAAAAAGAGAACTTTAGTATATTTTGTGGCACCTTCGTTTCCTTAACTTGAACCTATGGCCTTTTGTTCTTAAAGTTGCAGGTTTCAAAAATTCCTGCTTGTCTATTTTGTAGATTCCTGACACATCTTTATACGTAGTGATCGTATCACCCCTTATCCTTCTGTCTTCTAGCTCTGGATTACATGTTCCTCTCAGCATACCGATACTGTAGTGTTGTTATGCTAGTACTGTGTAAGGTGTTAGGGTGTAGTGTGACACATTGTGTTGTATGTTTCAGCGTGAGGCGTCTGGTCGTGTCAGCGTGAGGGGGGACGAGCTACCTCTCGTGTCATCGCCGCCCCCACGACTGTCATCTCCCACCCAGGCCTCCTCTTCCCCGTCCTCCTCTTCCTCGCTCTCCTCCACGCCTCTCACCTCCCTTCGTGACGATGTTCCCCAAGCGCCCTTCCCAAGAAGTGACGTCCCAGGAGCGTCACCTTTGACCAGCACCACAAGAATGGATACTCAAGGAACTACGTCCACGACTAGTACCGCAAGAACCCCAGAAGTGATATCTATTACCTACACCCCGAGGAGGGATGTCCCATCAGCGACGTCATCTACCAGTACCCCGAGAAGGGACGCCACGTCAGCGACGTCATCTACCAGTACCCCGAGAAGGGACGCCACGTCAGCGACGTCATCTACCAGTACCCCGAGAAGGGACGCCCCGTCAACGACGTCATCTACCAGCACCCCGAGGAGGGACGCCACGTCAACGACGTCATCTACCAACACCCCGAGGAGGGACGCCACGTCAGCGACGTCATCTACCAGCACCCCGAGAAGGGACGCCACGTCAGCGACGTCTCACGCGGCATTCTTGGCCTCTAGCCTTCACGATGTCCCTCATACACTGGCTTCGACTCCCAAGAAGAACATGCCGGCTGGGGTAAGGTGTCCTGCGGTATATAGCACTGGAGTGGAAGAAGACCTTAGCTTCAATTCCAAGTCCCCGATGAGGGTAGAGATGGCATCCCTTGATACTCTGCGTACAGGTTCAAGTCCCAATAGACACAAGTCAGCGGCACCGGTGCCAGGGAGTGTCGAGGGGGCTAGTCTGCAGCTAGCTGCTACGGTGTCTGTAGCGTCTAGTCCACATTCCAGGGCTTCCAGTTCACACCAGCCACGTCCTGGCGCCCACTCAGCAACCACTAGTCCACAGAAAGTGCCAGTCAGCCCACAGCCAATCTTGGCCGGTCTACACATTCCAATCAGTCCTTATAAAATGCCAGTCAGTCCACAGAAACTACCAGTTAGTCCACAGAAACTACCAGTTAGTCCACAGAAAGTGCCAGTTAGTCCACATAAGATGCCAATTAGTCACCAAAAGAATTTACCAGTCACTCCATACAAGATACCAGTCTCACCGCAGAATATTATGCCAGTCATTCTGCCGAAAACAGCATCAGCTGCTCCACAGAAAACAACCATTAATTCACAAAGTGCACCAAATAGTGAGCAAATCACAGTCATTAGTCTACAGAAGGAGAGCGTTACCAGCCCCCTGAAAACAGCGATGAGTGCTCCTACGACACCTTCAAGGTCTCCTTGTGCATTGTCCAGCAGTCAGGCGTGGAGACCCGCGTCTCACACCACGGCCTTCGGGACCCCACCTTTACCAGGTTAGTAACGTACTGTATTCTGCTGTAAAGAATTAAATAAATTGTGACTACTCTAGGTCGTGCTCTGCTCCCTCTCATGAGAGAATGAGAGATGTAGACGATTTATTATTACTTTGTCATATTACAGATCGGGGGAGTGGAGGCGTGGTGGTTGTGGTGAATGGAGGGCCAGTCACTGACTCCAGCCCCCGGCACTTGGAGGATGGCCAGGTCAGGTCACCGAGACAGCACAGTGTCATCTCTACAACTATTCCTGTCGGCGACATAGCGTCCTTCAGTGAGAACGAGAGCAGAGAAGCAGGCAAGGGGGAACAGAACCAGGCATGGGGTCAGCAGGTGGGCAAGAAAACGAGGAGTCCGGCATCTAGGAAATCCAGTTCGAAGTCCATTGTCCATGGAGAACCCAAGAGAAACACCCACGAGAAGAGCAAATCAGTGACGATTGTAGTAAACGACCAACAAGTGACCTACTCGAACACCCCGAACACTTATACCACCGCCAACGACCTCCAACATCCCCACGCAAACGGTATCACCAACGGAGACCTCAATCACCACCTTCCTAAGACGGCAGATGATATTAACGAGGGTGAGAGAGTAATGGTCAACGGGCACACTGTAGCCAAGGGCGACGGCGACACCACCAGACCTGCCTCTGCTGCATCCCTTCCAGGAAGCACTAAAGTAGATCCGGACATTCAGGTGAGTCCCACATCTCGACCACACCAATGACCAATGATGATCTGGTTTCCATTTTATCTATACGATTTTCACCATCATCCACGGCATATCGCCATTAACAAGCACATGGTGGACAAGTGGATGGGGGTGATGATATTCTAGAGTTGTGAAGCACCAACTATGAGTTACCAGGATGAGCCGATGACTCATGGGATTTATCTGTAAGTTATAAACGTTTGTCTCGTGTCCGTGTAGTCAAGTTGTGAGCAGTTGTGTCAGTTTATGATACGCATGTCTCACAGTCAGTCAAAATAAGCACCATTGGGTATGGACAATAATAGGATGGGTGATTGTAGTAACAGCCTTCCTCTTTGCTAGGGGGAATCATAATAAACCTTATTCTTGCACATTGGCCATGCATACTAAAAATACAATATCTCAAATTACTTTTAAAGAATATAGGAATTCTTTTTGAGACTGTTAAAACAGAGTGTTTTAATATGATTAGTTTCATCTAGACATTTTTTTTGCAAGTTTCTGTATCGAGAAAGAAAGCACGAAGGCATTGCGTATTTATTGCAACCCAGTTTCTACTCTAGCACTGTCCTGTAGCGACTATGGATGGAATGTACTTAACAAGGACATGTGTACTCAGAAAGGCACACCTTTTGTATTACTGATTCCGTATATGGCTCCATAAAGAAGGCGACAACTAAATATAACCTTTTCTAGACCTAATATTGTACATATATGTAAATTAGTCCATATGTTGCATATATTAGGCCCAGGATTGTTTATTTAGGCCTGGGACAGGTTAGGGTGATGGTTAGGTTGTTGCACTTGAAGGTATCAATAATGCAAAACGTGGAACTTTGTTTTTGGCTGCAAGAGTCTATATTTTGCACATCCACCCACAGTCACTAAAGGTGCACTAATTATTGGAGGTTTTGTTGATTTATTGAAGTCAATTGTATCAAGTGTGTTGTGTAATGTATTCCTGGAGGTTGACAAGTTAGTGTAGTGTGTCATGGAGGTTGACAAGTTAGTGTAGTGTGTCCTGAAGGTTGACAAGTCAGTGTAGTGTGTCATGGAGGTTGACAAGTTAGTGTAGTGTGTCATGGAGGTTGACAGGTTAGTGTAGTGTGTCATGGAGGTTGACAAGTTAGTGTAGTGTGTCCTGGAGGTTGACAGGTGGGTGGTGAGGTGTGGCACTGTGAGGTTGATGGGTAAATGAGTGAAGTCTTTTCATACGTTAAACAGCTGAATTAGGTAATTAGATACGAATTAGATTGAGAGAGAAGTGAGACCATGAGAGATAATGGAGAGCATGGGAGATGATGCAGAACATGAGACATGAGGGAGAGCTTTGAGAAGTAAGGAAAAGAACTATAAATGATGGAGAGAATGGTGTATAATTAGTGCGTGAGAGATAAGGAAGAGCTTGAGAGATAAGGGAGAGCTTGAGGGATAAGGGAGAGCTTGAGAGATAAGGGAGAGCTTGAGAGGATAAGGGAGAGCTTGAGAGGATAAGGGAGAGCTTGAGAGGATAAGGGAGAGATAAGGAAGAGCTTGAGAGATAAGGGAGAGTTTGAGAGATAAGGAAGAGCTTGAGATATAAGGAAGAGCGTGAGAGATAAGGAAGAGCTTGAGGGATAAGGAAGAGCTTGAGGGATAAGTAAGAGCTTGAGGGATAAGAAAGAGCTTGATGGATAAGGAAGAGCTTGAGGGATAAGAAAGAGCTTGAGGGATAAGGAAGAGCTTGAGAGATAAGGAAGAGCTTGATGTATAAGGAAGAGCCTGAGGGATAAGGAAGAGCTTGATGGATAAGGAAGAGCTTGATGGATAAGGAAGAGCTTGAGGGATAAGTAAGAGCTTGAGGGATAAGTAAGAGCTTGAGGGATAAGGAAGAGCTTGAGGGATAAGGAAGAGCTTGATGGATAAGGAAGAGCTTGAGGGATAAGGAAGAGCTTGAGGGATAAGTAAGAGCTTGAGGGATAAGGAAGAGCTTGAGGGATAAGGAAGAGCTTGAGGATAAGGAAGAGCTTGAGGGATAAGGAAGAGCTTGAGGGATAACAGAGCTTGTGAGATGAGGGAGAGCTTGACCATTAAGGGTGGCGGGTGTCGGCAGGTGCGGCCTCTGGTGGGGTGGTGGGGAGAAGCTTCCTGCAGCGGCGGCTCTGTAGTGGAGGACCCTGCCTCCTCTGATGACTGCCACCGCTCTACCCTTACTCTCGTCCACTCTCCCGCCCGTACCGTGAGTACCTGTACCACCCTGTACCTTGCTCTACCACCTTCACTCTCCCGCCCGTACCGTGAGTACCTGTACCCTGCTCTACCACCCTCGTACTGATCCACTCCCCCGCCTGTACTGAATACTGTACCAACTTGTACCCTGCTCTACCACTCACTCATCCACTCTACTGTCCATACTCGTGAGTGCCTGTACCCTTCTGTATCACTTTCACTCTGGTCCACTCCCCTCGCTTATTCTGTGAATATCTGTATCATCCATTACTTCCATGTGTGCTATGTCTTATCTCCCTACAGCATCGTGAAAGGTCACCCTACAATCTTAAACTCTGTGTGTCTTGTTTTATATGAAGAAGGCATGCATATATATAATATAATATATAATATATGCATTTACTTTATATGTAGATATAATTAACTTGTGTTTTCCCCACATAAATACTGTACACTGAAACATTCAAACAGGTTTAAGGAAGGTGACGCAGTTGACCTTCGGGAACTTGAGAAGTGTGTGTGTGTGTGGGAGTCCTTGGCTCTCACCTGCACTCACCCATCCTGGAAGGTTGGAGAAGGAGAGAGAGAGAGAGACAAACAGACAGACAGACAGACACAGACAGACAGACAGACAGACAGACAGACAGACAGACAGACAGACAGACAGACAGACAGACAGACAGACAGACAGACAGACATACAGAGACAAGGAGAGAGAGAAAGCGACTAGGAGAGGAGAAAAGAGAGAGGGATAAGGAGGGATAAGGATCACCTTGGTCACTTCTGTAGAATAGTTCTGACCTTGCATAGTATACTGTATACACACATGTGTAGTTTTTATCCTTCCTGGTTTAACTGTAATATCATTTATAGTTTTGCCCTTTAACATACAGTACAGTATATTAATATTTTGTAAAATTAACTACTAAATTTAATATTATTTCAGATGTTTTAGGTGAACGTTTATGAATGCTACTTTTTGATCAAGTACTAATACAGTATAAGATTTGAAAATGTCTGTTTTAAAAATGTTATACTGTACAGTGTAGAGTACTGCACTTTAATTATGGGTGTCTTAACAACACTACAGTATATGGATTTTTGCAAATTCAGTCATTTTAAATTTTTTGATGTAATGCAAAATAGATTGTTCCTGTAAGTTCTTGATTAGAAAGATTTTGTATTGAGCTTGATGCAGATTGGCTTTATAGTACTCAAAATTTCAAAATATGTTACCTTACTGTTCTTTTACCCTTATCAAATTTTGTAGTTCTGTTCAACACTTCTCTTGTGGTACACAACTTTGTTTTGTATAAGTTATCTTCTCTATATTAATGCGACACTAGTACTACATCTAGTTTGTAATGGTAATGTCTTCTCACAGACATAATAAAATAAGATAAAAAACCCACACACTTGTGTATTTGTGAAATTTATGTAAGGAATTTACACCAAGTCTTTTGCACTCTCCTGAGTGCTTTGTTAATGTCTGAGTGTGTGATTAGGACGAGATTTACATCTAATATTATTACTTTTATAGATTATTTCACACTTCTGAAAATCAATATTGTAATACTTTTCCTAACTATGGTTTGCTACAGTACTGTTACCAGCCATAATTCTATATGCTTTCTTATGTTCTTCAATTTTAATTTAAAGTTTTTCACCCTGTTTCTCCCACACAGACTTCATTACAATCTCTACAAGGTAATATATAAATTAATATAATATATACATTAATCTATAAAAGTAATAATATTAGAACTAGCAGAGGCATCAGTGGAAGGGGTTCTAATAAATACTCTGAATACTTTTGCTGGCAACAAAAGCTTTACTTTGGAAGATAGCTTTACTAGAATAATGATTCTGAGTGAATTAAAATTAGATATCAATAAATGGATGAATGAAAGCAGTCCCATTGGCCACATTGCTTGGGGTATAGAGAGGTTTATGAGGGATAGTATCCAGATGAACACCTCTATTAATAATAACTCCAGTTCCCAGAATAGCAGGATTACAGAAAAAACACATGACCATAATTCTGTAGAAGAGATTACCGCAGATACATCAGTAGTCGGGAATAGAGGTAATATGGTCAGGAGGTCAAGAAGGATAAGAAGATTGGACCCTGAATAACAGCCTCATTAGACGTTGAGATGCAAGTCTCGTCTTAATTACACACTCAGACCTTGACAAAGCACTCAGGAGAGTGCAAATGACTTGGTGTAAATTCCTTACACAAATTTCATAAATACACAAGTGTGGGTTTTTTATCCTATATCTAGTTTGTTAGAATACAGCAAGACCCTCGAATACTTTATCTAGCTTGTTGAAGTACACAAAGACACTACAGTACTTGAACAAGCTAATTAAAGTACTCGAGTGTCTTGCTGTACTTCAACAAGTTAAAGTACAGCAAGAAACTCGAGTTCTTTAACCCTTACACTGCTACAGCCTGGGCTGTAAATGGGGGTATAAGCTTGGGCTAGGTGAAAATATATTTGAATTAAGTGAAAATTAATATTAAATGTTAAATCTCCAACTTATTGGCTTCAGCGTCGTGAAAGTTTCATCCCAATATTTTCAGAAATGGATTTTAGACAGTTTTTTTTAAAAGAAGAACATTTGTTGATAAGGATAACAGCGCCTATTAACTGGATGTTACGGCCCTCTTGGGTCGCAACTGGGTTCTTTCTCTGATGTTAGTAGAGTTAGGGTATCCGGCCCCAAGCTAGTACTGGCTTTCAAGAGGTGTGCTCCATAACGCAAGTAAATTAAAGGGGAAGGGATAAAACTGCTCAGAAATAAATATATATTCACCACCACCAATAAATAAATATATAAACAGTCATTCACTGGGGCTATCACTACACTTATGTACACGTCTTGTCTTCTTCTGAAGACACAGGATGCTCTGCTTAACGGTGCTCAAGACGAGTAGCCCTGGTTCTCTTTTTGTGGCCTCTCGATTAGATCCTTAGATTCTCTTAGCGAGTCTACCCCGGCCACAGGCCAGCCAAAACACAATCCCACTGGGTGCACCGTCGTGGAGGCCGTCAACCACAAATCCAGCCTGTAGCTGGCAGGTTCCAATCAGCTACGCTGCGTAGGCCACTCCACGACCGATACAAGGGTTGCGAGCCCTAGGCAGGAGCCTCGTGTGATTCCACAGATCACTCTCTTCACCATAACACCCCAGTGGTTAGTCTTCTCCACCAGTCAGTCCCGGGTACGACAAATCCTCAACTGCCACGTCACAGGCAGACTAACACAACAGTGTTCATCCGGGGGGTGACTCACAACTTCTGCAGCTAACACTTGGAGATTCTACAGCTGCCTTGGGTAGACTGATCCACCTTCCATTACAGCAGTCCCAGGTCGACTCTGTAATTAGACACGTCATCAGTACTAATGACACTCTAGGGCACCTCACTCACAGGCTTAGACACAAACGTCCACCTATCCGCTCCATAGATGGCGTTGCTGTCCAAGCATCACCTCGCCAGAGGTCAGCAGCGGCTGTGTTATGAGCTGATCATGATGGGAAACTAGCCCTTGTGGCCAGTATATCTCGTCCTCACTAGATGGCGCCGTCAATTTGGAGGGGGTTTCGGGAGCTGACCCACAGATGGCGCGGTCGTCACTGCTCCGTGCTCGGACGCTGGGCTCGGGTCCGTAACACTGGAACTGAGGGATAATGCAGTAATAAGGTGATGCAAGCACCTGTCTGATGCACAAAGAAGAATAGTAGTTAGAAGTGCCCACAAAGTGGATATGCAGCTGGTGCTTTTATAGCAGTGCTGAGTAATACATAATAACACAAATAAAATAGGAAAGTATGTTATTATGCTCTGTTTTGTTATATATCATACAAATATATTGTTAAATAGTAATACATGTTACTTTTACCAATATCCACAATTTTTTTTTTAGGGGAAATTTTTTGTTTTTGTTTTCTCTTCTTCGTTTATTATCTGATTTTGTTGTAACCTCTACATCCGGGAGAATGCATACTTTTTCGTAACTATGTGAAGAAAGAATTAAATTGGTCAACAAATAAATCGGTCATAACTGGCAGAACTTGGGACTTTGAATTTTTTTGGGCTAATTTTTTCACAGATTTCAAACTCTATTTTCCCTTGTATCTTTAGATTGTTTTGATGATTAGGGACCAGATTAGGGCTTTTTGACTTATATAAAGTATACCCTAAATATATCTCCTAAATCATTATAATTATTATAATTATCCCTATATTTTGTTTTTTTGGGGGTTGTTTTTTCTCGACTTCATTTCAACACATATTGACCTGCAATTTTCAATTCAAGTACGAATGTCAAGGCGAGAGTTCGAATCACACACATTGCTCCAATTTATTTTCTCATTGCTATATCACATGTGTGTGATTCTCTTATGTTTTATTATTATTATTATTATTATTATTATTATTATTATTATTATTATTATTATTATTATTATTATAATACTTGCGTTATGAATTTATCCAGTGGGTTTAGTTCATCACTTATGATGCAGCAGCTCACCAATTTAAAAATGGTTATGCTGGTGTGAAGACTATAATAGCTTGCAATACCTCCTTCTCTTAAGTTTAGCTGTACAAGTACTGTATTCTAACTTGTCAGCTTAAAGTACACTACTTATTTACAACACAAGATGAATTGCATGATACAAAACATGTGTAGCTATTGTTGGGATAACTATAATATCCTTGATGCCCTGTCTGACCCTTGTTCTCACCTACCTTGCCCAGCTGTCGAGAGCAGTGTCTATCATACTTGTAAGTACCTCTCTCCTATTCCTCTCCATTACTTGTTTTTACTACAAATGCATGGATGCCCATCTTCTCAAATTTGACACACTCTTAACACCATATTTAAAGCTTATTTCTCATGGTTTCTAAATAAATACAGTATACATAATTTCATTGATTTTATATTAAGTGTTTGATTATGTGTTAAATATTTTAATAAATAATTTTCTCATGTTTCATTTTATAATTCAAACTTATCAGTTATGTGAAAATAGATTTGTATGTTGAAATATTTAAACTGAGAGGCTCTTTTGAAATAAACAATTTCTGTAATTTTTATTTATTTTATATTATTTGCGAGTGTTACTTGTTCTTGGATTGACATCTGTAAGCGGCATGTACAGTATGTGCTTGTGTGTTCGTGCGGTGTCGTGAGTATATTTGGCTTTTAATTTGCTACTTTCATATCTTGATGCATATATTTCTCCAGTACCTGAGTGGTGAGACTGGAGACACAGTGGGAGGTGAAGACTCAGGGGAGGCATGGAGTGGTGTTGTATCAGGCGTGTGTGGTGTGGTCCTCATTGTTGGTGCTGCATCACTCCTCCGGCTACCATGCTTACTCTATGAATATGGAGCAGGTATAGTGTGACGTTCACTTTTTTTTCTGGAAAGATTCTCTCCTACCTTAATTTGATTGATCATGCCATCTTCTAATGTTAGCACAAGATCTAGAACGCTGTTACCTTGGATGGGCTCTGTCACATGCTGTTCAAGAAAGGAGTCTGGAATCAGGACAAGAAATTGTCTCCTTCCAGACTCATCCAATCTATTAAGTGTCTCATGGTTAAAGTTCCCCATTATAAGGGCTTGGGCTTCAGCATTTGTTCCATTATGCAAATCTGTAACTTCCCTTGCTTTTGCCGAGTCTACCTTGTAGCTTACTCCCACTGTTAGTTTACCATCATTTTGAGCTAGTATATTGCACCATACAGATTCTGAGGATCCCATATTTCCTAGGTTAGGTTCATATTATAAGATGCTTGTTTGTTTTCAAATATTTTTATTTATTTTTTGTTTATATACTGTACAGTATATACAAGAAGGTACTTTGGGTTTATGATAGTACATAGCATTGATGTTTGTATATTCTTGCAATGCCACTAACACGCAAGCATTTCGGGCAGGTCCTTTAATCTAACAGATAATTTTAAGTAGGTCATTTGTAGCATAATTTGAAAAATATTAACAGGTACATTCTAAGAAAATTTGAAGAAAATTAATAGGTACATTGTAGTAAAATTTTAGGATTATCAACAGGTACATTGTAGCATAATTTAAGGATTATTAATAGGCACATTGTAGAAAATTTACATTTAACATAACAATTATAATATAAGTTGATAGCAGTGATTACAATGGTGAAGCTGTATGGCTTAGGCACATATATTGGGGGAGTGGGTAGCACATGATACAGTGCGAATTTGAAGCACTAGGTAGGAAACGTACCTTACCTTAATTAAAGATTACCTTACATTTTATTGTATGTTGATACCTGGAGTTTATACCAGTGAGTGTGCCTTTTGTTTACAATAAATGTGCATTCAAGATGGGTTTTTTCATTCCATTCTATACTTAACAACAAGGTTTTATTTTAGGGACAATCTTTTCTATCATGTTCATCAATAACCATGACAAAATCACAAAGATCACCATCACATTTACAAATGGCACAAAATTCAATGATAACCTGGGAAGTGAAAATGGTATTCATGCATTGCAAAATGATCAACATGAACTGCCTATACTAGTACTGTATTTTTCCTCAGTTGATCTAGCTGTATCTCTGTATAGTGTATTGTATTGTATATACTGTATTGTGTCAATAATTTTTTCATATTACATAACTTGCATTCACATTTTCTGTCATCAAATTATTGATCTGGACTGCAATGTGTGTTTGAGGTTTTGTGAAAATATATAATTTACACACACAAACTGTTGTAAAAACCCACTGTACTTTCTTGTGAATATAGTATATAAATAAAAAATTAATTAAAATACAATAGTACCTTATGTGGCCCTTCTCAAATTTGAAGTGTCTAAGAATGCACCACAATGTAAAACTTGGAGTCGACTATGCTGTATTGTGTAGAATTAATGCATATTTTATTACATTATGACGTGTGTAGAATATGATTTGTATGTTGTAGGAAGCTTTCTGGCAGCATGGTGTGCAGTCCTGGTGGTGATAGCAGCCCCACTTGCATACTTGGAGGCTTGTCTTTCTCAGTTCAGTAGCTCAGCAGCCCTTGCAGTTTGGCGTCTTATTCCCATAGCTAGAGGTTAGTGGTACGAGACATTGAATTCCTTGTTTTTCTTACTGTATGAGCAAAAGTCACAAAATCTCTTCTCTTATCTGTAATGCTGCTGATAGGTCATAGTTTTGCTTGGATCCTTCTCATCCAAAGTTGTGGAGCTCCCCTTGAATGACATATAGTTCCAGTGCTTGGCCTTCAGTGCTTGGCCTTTCAATCAAAATTCAATCACACCAACTCACTATTAAATGACTTCATTTGTAAAAAAAAAAATTATTACTGTATTGTCATGTTAAGTAAATTAGCATAATTTTCTAGTAGTATCTCCCAGCCTTGGAGCATTCTTTTGTTAATTACTTCCTTAAAACAGTACTGTACTAGAAGTAAGACAGCCTTGTTTCTGCATAAAATAAAAATAATAAAATAAAGAATTGCATTGACAACTTCAGGTGTTGGATGGTCGACAGTGGTGGTGTGTTTCTACTGGGCAGTTGTTGTGTTGGGTTATGTGGCCCCAGTCATCCACTACACTTTACTGTGGATTAATTCAGCACTTCTCCAGGTCAGTTCTATATGTTTTTGTATAGTTAGTGAGCCAGCAACCTCCATATACACTGCTTATCTTATTGCAGTTCCAAATTATTCATTAAAATGTCCCACTTACTGTAATAGTGTAACATAGTGTATTAACTGTGCAAGTTTAGAAATTCATTTCTCAATACTAATATAGTGTGATACTTCCTGTATAAAGAAAATATTCTTTGAGCTTATGAAAAGCTCTTTTCTGAGCCTCGTATTCTGCTGATCCCAAACGTTAAACCCATACTAATTGCCTAAAAGACAATTTCAGTCAGACAAGATGGCATATGTCACTGGTGCTACAAGACCAATAGTGCTCTTACATCATAATATTAGGTACTTGGGAGTCATTAGAATCAGAATCTATCCAGTACTAGAATAAACCATAAACCATCATTTGCCAGTCAGATGACTGGCAAAGGTTTTTTAATGCCGATAAATGAAAGACCTTGCATGTGGAGCATAACAATCTACGTAACAACTACCAAATTAACAGCACTACATTACAACAGATAGAAGAAGAAAAGGACCTGGAGTCAGAATCCATCATTCACTAAAAGTTGCACAACAAGTGGGAGCAGCAGTAAGAAAAGTGAACCAAATCGTGGGAATAATCAAGCGTACCTTTACATTCAAGGAAAAGAAAGTAGTCATTCAATTGTATAAGTCAATTGTATATTAATAGGTTATATATTAATAACCAAACCCACACGTGTGTGGTTTGCATTTTTTGTTCTCGACCACATTACTGTGACATTCTTTGCAAATTCATGACTGTCATTTAGTAAAGAGTTACTGTGTATAACTTTGAACAATGTAGACTTTTTGAGATTAAGATATATAAATTTTCTGTGTTTTTTATAAGGCAAACTCGTACTTGGAACAGCATTTACCATCTAACAGTAGGTACAGTAGTTATCACTTATATATGTATGAATGTTTGTCACAGAATGACTTATAACACCCTTTGTGGCACAAGTGTGCAGTCATAGTCATGAAATATTCCTGTAGTAAACTGTATCCACCAACTCTTATGTGCAAATATACGATGGCTAGACAAACATATGAGGGTTAGCCAATATGTATACAGAGGGTTAGCCAAATGTGTGAGGGCTAGCCAAAAGCAAGAGGGCTAGCCAAGTGCACAAGGGCTAGCCAAATATATAGAGGGTTAGCCAAACGTACGAGGGCTAGCCAAATGTACGAGGACTAGGCATATTTACAGTGGGTTATCCAAATGCACGAGAGCTAGCTAAATGTACGAGGGGTAGGCATATGCATGAAGGCTATGAAAATGTACAGTGGATAGCCAAATATACAGCAGGGTACCCAAATGTATGAGGGCTAGCCAAATGTGTCAGGGCTAGCCAAATGTATGAGGGCTAGCCAAATGTGTCAGGGCTAGCCAAATGTATGAGGGCTAGCCAAATGTGTCAGGGCTAGCCAAATGTATGAGGGCTAGCCAAATGTGTCAGGGCTAGCCAAATGTATGAGGGCTAGCCAAATGTGTGAGGGCTAGCCAAGTGTATTAGGGGTAGCAAAATAAATGAAATACCTAGCCAAATATATAAGGGCTAGCAAACTATAAAGAGGAGTTAGCCAAATGTATGAGAGCTAGCTAAATATACAGAGGGTAGCCAAATATAGAAGGGCTAGGCAAATGTATGATGGCTAGCCAAATATACAGAAGGTAGTTATATGTATGAGGTTTAGCTAAATATAAAGTAGAGTAGCCAAATTTACAAGGGGGTAGCTAAATGTATGACGGTTAGCTAAATGTATGAGGGCCAAACAAATGAATGAGTGCTAGCCAAATATAAAGATGGATAAGTCAAATGTACAAGGGCTGTATGAGGGCTAGCCTAATGTACGAGAGTTAGCCAAATGTACGAGGGCTAGTCAAATGTACGTGAGCTTGCCAAATGTATGAGGGTTAGCCAAATGTGTGAGACCTAGCCAAATGTACGAGGGCTAGCCAAATGTACAAGGGCTAGCAAAATGTATGAGGGCTAGTTAAATGTATCAGGGTTAGCCAAATGTACAAGAGGGGTAAGCCAGAAGTATAGGGTGAAAAATTAATTGTACAAAATGAAACCAACTGTATGTGAGGTAGGCAAATTAAAATGACCTTGATTCAGTTACTGCATTAATACTGTGTTATCTTGTTTCATTAGACTCTCCTCAGTCATTAATTATGTTGGTTTAATAATTGATCATTTATGTTTCAGAAGGCTGTGTCACCATTGTGTAGTGACAGCATCAACAACTACACCAACACCGGTGATTGGAGTGTCGACTACCATAGGTCTGAGTCACATGCGGATGTGTGATATATTGTGTGTGTGTGTGTGTGTAATTACCTAAGTAATTACCAAAATGTAGTTACAGGATGAGAGCTACGCTCATGGTGTCCTGTCTACCCAGCGCTCTGTCATATAATACTTTGAAGCTACTGACAGTTTTGGCCTCCACCACCTTCTCACTTAACTTGTTCCAATCATCTACCACTCTGTTTGTGAAAGTGAATTTTCTTATATTTCTTCGGCATCTTTGTTTAGTTAGTTGAAATCTATGACTTCTTGTTCTTGGAGTTCCAGGTCTCAGGAAATCTTCCCTATCAATTTTATCAATTTGTTACTATTTTGTACGTAGTGATCATATCACTTCTTTTTCTTCTGTCTTCTAGTTTTGGCATATCTAATGCCTCTAATCTCTCCTCGTAGCTCTTGCCCTTCAGTTCTGGGAGCCACTTAGTAGCATGTTTTTGCACCTTTTCCAGTTTGTTGATGTGCTTCTTAAGATATGGGCACCACACAACCGCTGCATATTCTAGCTTTGGCCTAACAAAAGTCGTGAACAATTTCTTTAGTATTTCACCATCCATGTATTTAAAAGCAATTCTGAAGTTTTTTTTAAACTTACTTGGATTCTGCAGCCTCTCCGAGAAACAAACCAGGGTTTTACACAATTCCCCCCATGTACTTGAGCTATGTCAATAGGCCGTTTGTGTCTCGGAGAGGCTGCAGGATCCAAGTAAGTTCAGTAGAACTTCTGGTTTCAACTCTTTTACCATGTCGTAACTCAGTCGATTAAGGCAGCGTCTGGGATGCTCTCGGACGTAGGTTTGAATCCTCGTCATGGCCCTTGTGGATTTGTTCTTACTATTTTTGCTTTCATTCACTATATACAGACGTTATATATATGTATCTGCATGTTTTGTTCACCATAGCGAACCACTAAGCTGGTATAATAAACACAGACAGCAACAGGTGGCCATACAGATTTGGCAGACGACTATACAGCCCTCCCGCCCTCAATATTACTCCTCCCACAGCACAGTGCAAATTATCACAACAATCATGTTATTATCAGAACCCTGGTCATTTTTATCATGGTCAGGGGTCTTCTGTAATACTATCATCGCTAAATAAGACCAGTGACATATTTTTGACATTTTTAGGCAATGCTGTGGTCACAAGCTGAACAGCAGTACTATGAGCTCATGCTGCGTGTGCCAGCATTGGTGGCTCACTCAGTATTGAGGTTTTCACACCAGGGAATGTTGCCCACGATTTAAAAAAAAAATGGCGTCTGTTTACAAGAGCCCTGAGGAAGGTGATGTGAACCCCTGTGTAGCCGTGGGCCGATTAAATCTTGCGCAGTACTCCAAAACGTCATATGAAGGGTTGCGCACTTTTGTGTCAGTTACTCAACACGTCATGAAGTGTTTTTTTCCCCCCTCACCTTGCCCGAAACGCTATGCGTACTAGTGGCTTTAGGTATTGTATGTACTACAGTATCTCTATCTTTAAATCCATCATTATGTATGTAACTCAATGGATGTACCTTTACCTGAATAAAGAATCTGAATCTGAATCTGTGTTGCGCAGTTTAAGGGTTAGAGTCAAAATCCACCACTCACTAAAAGTTGCACAACAGATGGAAGCAGCAGTCAGTACAGCTAACCAAACTCTCAAAATAATCAAGTGTACTTTTAACTCTAAGAAAAAGATGGTAATGATTCAACTGTATAAATCTCTGGTGCGTCCCCATTTGTATTACTGTATCCAAGCATAGAAGCCTCATTTTCAGAAGGACATAGCTGCTCTGGTGAAAGTGCAACACCGGGCAACAAAAGTCATTCCAGAGCCAAGTCATTTCTTGTATCAAGGAATGGTTGAAGCCCACAAGACTAACAACATTAGAAACCAGGCATGACAGGGCAGATCTCATTGAAACTTTTAAAATACCAAACAAGTTAGAGGATGTTGATTTGGACAATTTCTTCAAAAGGTCAGATGTAACACAAACAAGGAGCAACGGTTTCAAGCTCAACAAGCCACAATGTAGGACTGAGAATAGGAGATGCTTTTTCACCCACAGGGTTATAACTCCATGGCACTGCTACCCGCTGAGGCCATAAATGCAATTCTGTGTTAAGTTTTAAAATCTACCTGGAAAAGATCATCATGGCAAATGGGGGGGACCTTTGACAAGCCACCGGCTTCTTGTTCTCATTGAGGCCACTAGGGTTTGTGGCCCTCAGTTAAGTCAGGTATCTTACATTTTGCTTCACTGAAGTTCTGTGCTTGTGATTTTATATAAAACTAGAGAGTTGACTGTATTATCAAATATTCTGAGTAATTTTTAAAGAATATTTCCTTATTAACTTCTATATTAATATATTAGCATTTACTGTTAACAAAGACACAGGGAGAAGCCTCTTCTATAAAGTTCAATGTTACTGATATTTGATATATGAACTAGCATAATGCATAATATGTTGAGCAATATAATTGTGGGAAACCAATGTCTTATACAGTTAAGGATTTATATATAAAAAAGTAGGGTTTTCAGATTTATATACATGTATTTATAAATCTATTTTTAAAGTACAATTTATAACAAATTATAGTTTTTAAAGATTTATATATAAAAAGATTTACTGGTTTTCTTTACAGATTATGCGTGTATGAACTGCCAGATGAGTGGCAGTCAGGGGTGGAGTTGACCTTTGTTTGGCCACTTCCTGCAGTCATGGCAGCTACTGTTCTTACAACCTCTATTATGTATGTAATAGTTTTGATAAACTCATTTAATTATTTTAAGTATCAAGTAATTCATTGTTGCCTGATTCACTAGGCCAGAAGTCATTTTTAAAAATATCCATTTTGTTTTATTGAGTTGTCCCACTTGTTTACTTCTAAAGGAAAGATTCCTCGGTACCATTAGATGGGATCATGCATGGTTAGGATTGGTTGACACTTTGACACTTGCAAAACATAGATCTTTGGAAATATCTCTGCCAAGTCATGCGGTTGCTAGGGAAATGCTGGAGAATATTCAGTCCAGCAAGGAATGACCTCTGAAAGGTTCATTCCTATATACTTTATACAAATTCCTTCCAAGCACTGCACTTTCACTAACCTGTAGTTGGCCTGCTTGGCTGTTACCCCTGACCATCATCAGGTTAGGGTTGCTCGCCCACAACAATTATTATGTGTCTGCTTTGCCTCAGGTGGTTCATTTCTTTCTTTCAAGCATTTGCTTGATTTTACCTAACCTTGCATGGTAAAGAAAGCCAGATTCTGACCTACTAGCTCTCAGGAGGTTAGTATGGTCTTAGAGGCCATGTGGAATTAAGTGATTTTATTATACCAGTGCAGCAGCTCCAAGGAGCTACTGAGGGCCCACCAGAAAAGTGTGTATCATTACACTCAATGTCACTCTTCGTAATGAAGACAGGTACTGTAGAGCAAAGATTTTATACTTGTTGAGCAACTTTCAGTAACTAGTAGATCATTATTCCAAAGTTCTCTTCTTTTTCAGTCTGCTGCTGGATCATATTGTTAATATGGCAGTTATGGGTATTGTTATGCCCCTACATGTAAAGGTCTTATATTTTTCAAAATTAAAAGCATTTACTAATCTTCTGACATTTGTGGATTTCATGTTGAGTATTCTTGCCACATAAGCCTCCCAATCTAGACATTTTAGAGTAAAGTCACACCTGTGTCAACAATCTGCCTTTATCTTTATTGTCAAAACTGTGAATAACAAATCCCCAAACAACAAATGTCTGCTGTACTTCCTAACTTCTAAGCAAACTTGTTTAAAAATTGTACTTTAATTTTAATAAAGTTTCAGAATGTGTATTCTCTTTTATTAAGTTTGAAAAATAGATGCACCTTGTCTTGGCCTAGCTTGCATGTATCTGTCAAGCTCACTTAAAAATGAATGTTTGTATCTTGAGCAAAATTATTTATGTATGGATGTCCCTTCTCTGATTAAATAATTTCCAGATTTATAGCCATATATTTTAATACAGTGTAATTTATCTTGAGAACAGAGCTGCTTGTGGAGCGCACACCCTGGCAGGAATTACTGGAGCTATGGCAATATTAGCGGTCATAGGTGAGTACTGCACCATAAACCTGGGATTTTTTAGGAGTAGGAATGATCAACATTTCTTATTACCTTCTGTTCTTATATTTTCATCAAAGGATAAATAAACAAATGCTACAATTGGGTGCCCAACAGAGAGAGAGAGAGAGAGATTTGTTTTCTAATGTCTGACAGTTCTGCCAGTCTTGCTTGTTGCCAAAATGGGATTACAGTAGACCATTTTAATAATAGTAAGCAAATGGCGTAGGACTACATGGGATAATCAACTCTGGGTGATACATACATTGACTTCAGTATTTATTATGCAGGTGGTGCTGCTATATATACACAGGAAATCATCAAGCACTCTTAAGTGCAGAGCTATAGGCCATGAGGTGTTAATACAAACCAATTGGCCTCTATGTCCATTTGATTCTAATCATTTCACAACATATCTATAATAATACTGTACAAAAGCAAATGTTTCATGATGTGTATGTGCATAAAACCACAGCTGTGTGCTGTTGGTGTCTGCCTTGTGCTATGAACATCATAACCAGCATTGTGTTCACTGATATCTGAACCTTTCACATAGTCTTTTTGCCACAAATTTGAACAAATTTGCCACAAATGTTCCTATTAGTACTCTTACCTTATCTGTTAGATTAAGGACCTGTCCAAAATGCTATGCATGTTAGTGGTTTTCCCAGAAAGTAAGAACACCAGTGTTATCTACTCTCACAAACCCAATTTACCTTCTTGTAAATAAATAAATAAAATAAATTTAAAATGGAATCTCAGAAGAGTTGATAACTGCTTTAAATATAGACATTCTAGTTCACAGAGAGCCTGATAAAGTATATGGATGCTGAAGACTGTAAAGGTCTAATATTTGTGACAAATGAGTTAAATTAAATTAAATTAAATTAAATTAAATTAAATGTAATTAAATTAAATTAAAAATTTTATTCACGTAAAAGTACATACATAGAAGATGATTTACAAACATAATGTTGGATTTATAGATAGAGCTAGTACATACAATACCTAAAGCCACTAATACGCACAGCATTTCAGGCAAGGTGTGGGAGAAAAAGCACTTAGACGAAAGCTTAACAGTAATTGAGAATAAAGAATAAATTATGATGTAAAAGGAATAAAAAAAAGGGGAGATATATATATACATGGCAGAAATCAGCAATTATACAAGTTGGTCAACAAACAGTACTGTTTGAAAATAGCAAGACCTGGGTTGACATTTAGGGGGTAAGGTAGCTTACATGGAGTTTATTAGCTAGTATTGTACTTAGTTTTTCTCTTAAACTGGTTGAGACAAGTACAGCCTTTGACATGATTGGGAAGGTCTTTCCATATTCTGGGACCCTTGATTTGTAGAGCATTTCTAGTTTGGTTAAGGTGCACTCTTAGAATATCAAATAGGTATTTGTTTCTGGTGTGGTGCCCATGGGTCTGTTACAACCTTCTAGGAAGCGTTGAAGGTCAGGATTGGCATTACAGTTCAGAGTTTTAAATATATAGAGTACACTTGAGAGGATGTACAGCGACTTAATATCTAATTTGATATTGTTCTAATAACAGCTTTGTGTTGAGTAATTAGAGGACATAGATGGTTTTGGGTTGTAGAACCCCAAGCACAAATGCCACTATTGAGATAAGGATAGATGAGAGAGTAATAGAGCGTCAAGAGGGCAGGGCTAGGTATATAATATCTGATCTTAGAAAGAATGCCAACAGTTTTAGAAACTATTTTTGCTATATTTAGAATGTGTTCCTGGAAATTCAGCTTGTTAGCGATGAGGACACCAAGGATTTACCATCTAGTTTGTTACTAATTTGGATATTGTTTCTTCTTAGATAAATTTGATCTGAGGATTTATTACCAAACAAAATATAGAAGGTTTTGTCAATGTTAAGGGTGAGTTTGTTAGCAGTTAGCCAAAGATGGACTTTATGTAATTCAGTATTCACTGTAACATTCAGAGCAAGAAGGTCAGGACTGGAGAAAATGATGATTGTGTCATCAGCAAATAAAATTGGTTTGAGGTGTTGAGAGGCATTTGGAAGGTCATTAATGTAGATGAGAAAGAGGAGAGGGCCAAGTATGCTGCCCTTTGGAACACTAATGTTGATGGGTAGGATGGGAGAAATGGAATTATTCACAGAAACATACTGGAGCCTGTCACTAAGATAAGACCGAAGGTATTGGAGGGAGTGACCTCTGACTCCATAATGATGTAATTTAATTAGAAAGTTTTGGTGGTTGACAGTGTCAAAAGCCTTATGTAGGTCAATAAATAACCCACCAGGGAACTCATTTTATCAGGAGCTATATGTATCAAGTTAATCATACTAATCAGTGCATCATTAGTACTTTTTTTGGATCTGAAGCCATATTGGCAAGAGCTAAGTATATTGTGTTTGACTAGATAAGAGTAAAGCTGCTTGTAGATTAGCTTTTCAAATATTTTTGACGAGGTTGGCAGAATTTATATGTCTGAAATTGTTTACATCGGTGAGATCACCACATATATGGACTGGGGTTACTCTCACTTTTTTTAGAATATCTGGAAAGGTTTGGAGTTCAAGTGATTTGTTGTAGAGCAATGCAATGCCAGTTACTATTTTAATGCTACAAATATTTTTTCCAGGATTAAGCTTGCAACTTGGTATTGGGTTGACAGAGATGTATGGACGAGACATGCAAAGCTTGTGGGAGCTCGCTCGTCCCTTCCTCACCCCTCAAGGAGGAACACTCCTGCAGCCCCGGGTAAGCAAAGTCATCTTGTCTAACCTAAGACTAGCTTCACTTGCAGATTATATTGTAATTAATTGCCCCAAAATGGACCCCTGTAGTACCATACTTACCCCACATTCCTCCAATCAGATTCATTCCCATTTAGCACCACTCTTTGTTTTCTTTGTTTTAACTATTGTTTTATCCATTCTAGTATTTTTTCATTTATTCCATGTGCCTGTAAATTCCTTGCCAGTCTTTCATGTGGTACCTTGTCAAAGACTTTAGCAAAATTCATGTCTACTTCGTCAACCGGAAGTCTGAGTGGCTGGTTACCGTTTCCAAAAATGTGAGCAGGTTTGTAAGGCAGGATCTCTTTTTTTAACAAATCCATGTTGTGTTGATTTTACAAGATTGTTCACTGAAATATGGTGAATGATTCCTTCCCTTAGGATTCTCTCTATGAGCTTGCAGATGTGTGATGTCAAGCTGATTGGACAGTAGTTCTTCGCTGAGCTCTTTCTGCCTTTTTTTAAAATAGGGGTGACATTTGTATATTTCCAGGCTAGGGAGGGCTATCCCTTGGTCCTGAGACTTTGTGAAAAGTAATTTCAGTGGAAGGCATAATTCTTCTGCCAGTTCCTTTATGACTTTAGATTATATTCCATCCACCCCTGGGCTTTCGAGTCTTTTAGTTTGTCAATGTTCTTCCTAATTATGTCTCATGTTATGGTTATATTCTTAAATTCATTCTCTTCAGCTCCTTGACATATTTATGTGGGTGATGGGATGTCATCTATCCTTTCTAGTGTGAACACTGATGTAAAATATTCATTTACAGTGCTAACTGCCCTTTTGTTGTCCATTATTGTTTGGTTAGTCGTATCTTTTAGAAGTCTTACCAAGTACGTAGTTTTGATTTTACTTCTAATATAAGCATAGAATGACTTTGGATCTTTCTTTATGTTTTGGACAAGTTTTCTTTTGTAGTTCCCTTGGCTGATCTGATTTCCTGAGTGGCTGAGTTTAGTGCCCTTTTATATGCTAATACAAAAGGGCACATTTAGTGCCATTTTATGCACTACTTCACTAGTGTATGGCCAAGTTAAGTGAATTAAAGTTGGTGTTACACATATTGCTAGCTTCTCTTGTCAGCTTAGCAGTGGACTACAGTTGGTTTTTATGTAATTACCTAAATGTTATTCATATATTTTATTTTCCGTGTGCTTGATTTAGATGCAACAGATCTTACCTTACGAAGCAGCATAATGAGATAGCTCAGAAGTTATCTAATTTTTTTAATTTAATAATTTTAACACTATGCCTAGTCTAGAAAATAATGGTAATGACTAACTTGTATTTCAGGTGTGGTGTGCAGCACTTGCGCATGTGCTACTTTCCCTGGGGCTTGGTGTTGGCCTGCTCATGAACTTCTCCTCTAGAGGATCCTTCAGGTTCACACTCAGACGGTAAGCCATTAATGTTGTTGTGCTGCCGGTGACTTTCATTTTAATCAAATAAACTTGATCAACAAAACAGGGAGTACTGAGGTAGAAGATTTGTTAGAATTAGTTGATGTCTGATTCCTTAATATAGGCACTAGTACTGTTTCTGATATAAGGAAACAAAAAGAACAATACCTGAAATACATTTCAACCAGTGAGAGTGAAGGTGCAAGCACTGGCAGAGGGTGCGGTAGAAGAACTTTGAAGACTTCACAGCATGTACAGTTGGATGAGGCTGTGTACAAGTGGTTTGCTCAGCAGGCAAGCCAAGTGCCTTCAACCAGTGAGACTTCAGCACCTGGCAGTCAAAACTAACTTTGCCTCATGAAATGTACAGTAATTTTAAGTGTTAATTTTAGTGTTGTGTTAGAATAGGTTACGTAAATTGTCAAGAATTCTTAACTTCAAGATGTGTAGCATCAATCAAGAAGACGTACTACAACAAGGTAAGTTGAGGTTTCTAGTTGAATATTTTATAATTATATGTGGCAATTCAAATTATGCTGTTTGTGGTATAAAAATTGTTGGAAATGTTCACTTTTGGACTTACGAGGTGAAAAAGTATGTTAATCCAGAAAACATACTAATGTGGCAAAGGAGTCCTTCCCATATAGTCTGGATTAGCAAGCTTCTACAGTAATGAATTAAAAAAAAGCCACTTATTGATGTCAACCAACAAACTCACACTAAACATAGAAGTGATATACTACATCATATTTTAAAGCAAATCAATAAATGCAATTCAGCTTCAGATAGACAATGTTAACATCAGCAATAAAAATGATGGCAAGTTCCTTGCCCTATACTTAGACAAGAGACTCAAATTCAGCACCCACACACAACACAACCAAGAAAGTCTCTAAAATGGCTGGTATACTCTCTAAAATCAGATATTATGTTCCTAACTCTGCTCTCCTCTCACTATACTATGCACTAATCTATCCCTATCTTACATATGGTATCTGCGCATGGGGTTCAACCCCTGCAAACTACCTCAAGCCCATCATCACCCAGCAAAAATCTGCTTTCAGAACAATAACAAACTCTGCTTTCAGACAACACTCAGCCCCCCCTGTTTAAATCCCTAAACATGCTAAACATAAACTCACTCTACACATTCTCGTGTGCCATTTACATTTACAAAACCCTGTTCTTAAATGCAAACCCTGTTCTGAAACTCTTCCTAGACAGATGTAATAGAACCCATAATCACCACACCAGAAATAAATATCTCTGATATGCCCAGAATCAAACTTAATCTGTGTAAACACACTATACAAAAAAGGGACCTAGTCTATGGAACTTGCTCCCAAATGAATTGAAAAGCTGTCCAACTTTTGCCTTATTCAAAAATAAAACCCATGAAGTACCTAATTTCATCTTCATTGTTTCCTACCTAGTGCTTTAAAACTCGTACTGTATTTAATGCTACCCAATCCCACAATATATGTACCTAAGCCATACAACTTTACCATTGTAATCATTGCTATCATCTTATATCATGGTTGTTATTTTGAATGAATATTTTATTGCATTATACCTTGAAATAATTCTCAATTTATGCTGCCATGTACCTGTTTATAACCCTCAAATTTTACTTTAATGTACCTACTAATCTTTGTCAAATTTTTCTTACTATGTACTTGTCAACATTTTTTAAATTTTGCTAAAAATTTCCTACTTAAATTTATCTGTTAGATTAAGGACCTGCCCAAAATGCTATGCATGCTAGTGGCTTTACAAGAATGTAAAAATATCAATGCTATATACTGTCATAAACCCAATGTACCTTCTTGTATATACAGTGTATATATAACTACATAAATAAATAAAATAAATAACTCCTGACTTAGAAGAATTGTGTTACAGTACAGAACTTTGATTTAACAATGAATTTCTAATAATTTATATTCAATTACAATACTATTAGAAAAGTTTTCATTATTTACTGCATCATATATATAAGCAGAAGGTGGGTTATTGTATGTTATATATATCCATATAGATTTTTATTCATATCATCTGTTAAAGACAACAATAAATTTATATAAGTACAGTATTTATAGTATTTCAATATTGCCTAGGGTGGCTGTTATTGTCAATAATTGTATATTAATTTATTTGTTATTTCAGACATGTGTGGGGATTAGTGGTGTTGCTTGGGGTAGTGACAGCACTGGTGTCGGTGGTGACAGTGCTGCAGCTCACACTCCTGGCAAGTGACCGAGGGCTCGGTGTGAGCCAAGCTCTGGCATCTATCAGGTATACCTCTCAAGTTGTATTGGCATTTCCTTTCACCTAATGCCGCTGTTTACCTGTAAGTAGGTACTTGGGAGTTAGGCAGCTTGTGGGGTTGCATTCTGGGCAGGGTCAGTAATTCAACCTTGGGGGGGAGGACCTTAATATAAGCCTAACATGTATAAATACACTCTGGCTTCCTGTCCTCTGATACAATGAATTATTATTATTATTATTACAGTATTATTATTATATTCAATGCTAGTTTTTTAAGTACCCAGTACAGTTAGTGAAAATGTTTTCAATTTTACTTTTAAGTCTCATATTTTTTTCCTTGTGCACTGTTTCAATCTCCCAATCTAGATCAGTTTTTCTGGTGTTGTGTTGCATTTCAGTAAGTATGACAAGAAAATCCATTGTCAATCAAGGAGCACAGCACTGGTTAATAGATCTCTCTGCAAACAGATATGAATATAATGGGACAACTGCTGGGGACAACTTCTTGGAGATGATTGATGAAAATGCCATTGGAGTTAGTGTTGGAACTGCGGTGATTACGGCTTCACATTTAATGGCCGTGGTAACCTTTCCCATTGTGTGGCTAAAACAAGTTGTTTCAACCATTATTTTCACAGGTAAGACAGACTTCCATTAGGCAGACTTGGTGTTGGAAGTTTGTAGACTAGATGGAGATTGTGCAAGAGTTGTAATGTGAGGTAAATGTAAAGTATTGATGATGAAAGGTAAAAGTAACATGGAAAACAGATTAAAGATGTGAGAAGGGAAGCTGAAGTGTGTGTTGATAGTAACATGAAGGAAAGACCTGGATGGAAGTAAACATTTATTAAAAGAATGGAGCAAACCCCATTGGACTTAAAGTCTGCTTCAACCTGGTTGTAAGATTTTATTATTTTCCAATTTTTTCCACCTGCAGTGCAGCCCATCTGTATATGGCAGACCGCTTATAGAGGTTATCTAACCAGTCACTGCAGAAATATCGAAAGTATTGAAAGGAGAGACCCCTTGATTCCAAAGTGGTAGAGTTTGAGAAGGTTATTGTGGTTAACTGTGTCAAAGGCCTTATGCAGATCAATAAATGGACCTATCGGGTACTCATTTTTGTCAAGCGCTGAATGTATCATGTCAAGCATATTGATTAAAGGATCATTGCTGCTTTTTGGGGGGATCTGAAGCCATATTGGCAAGAATTAGTATACTGATATTATGTTTATCTAGTAGGTGTAAAGACATTACTTTTTCAAATATTTTGGACAAGATGTGAATGACTGATATTGGTCTATTGTTATTGATTTCAGTGGGATCACCACTTTTTATGGACTCGGACTACTATAGCTTTGTTAAGAATATCTGGGAAAGTTCAAAGTTCCAGTTATTTATTGTAGAGTACTGTTATGGATGGAGCTAACACTTGAGGCTTTTTTGTATATATTAGAGTTGGTATCTCAGGAAGGTTACTTAATTTTGTTTTAAGTGAGAGGATTATATCATTGACATCTGAGGAGTTTGTTGGGATAGATTTTTTACCTGAATTTACCTAAAGCCACCATCTCTCTAATGGTCTAGATGGGGATAGAAAGCTGGCAGCTTGTTGAAGGTCCTCTCAATTGTTCCTGAGGATTTTTCCAGCTAGATTTTGAACTAAAGTAATGCCTTGGCATTTAAGGCATAAATGGGTAGATGGTTCCTTGGGTTTAATAATTTGTTTTGTCATTTTTTTAGCCTTTTGGTTGTGACTACTTAAGTTAGCATGAAAACTTTTATAGAGATGTAGGGTTTTGCAAAGAAATGATTGCACATTTTCAAAACAGGAGATGCTTTTTCACCCACAGGGTTATAAACTCATGGAACTGCTAACGAGGGAAGCCATAAATGCCAAAACTCTGCAGAAATTTAATAAGATCCAGCTTGAAAAAATCATCAGGACAAATCAGGGGACCTTTGACAAGCCATTGGCTTCCTGTCCTCATCAAGGCCACTAGTGTTAGTGGCCCTCAGGTAAATTCAGGTTATTCATTTGCGTTTGCCATACAACCAAGTTCAGTCTCTCAGTTTATGTTACCAACAGCAGCAACAGAGTTGCTTACTGAAGCTTCATTGTGCGGTCTAAAGCTAATCTACATTGTTTCTAATGGTGGTTTAATAATGCTGTTTAGAAGAAATGTGGGGTAATGGTCAATAGTCCCATCAGTGATTATTCCCAAGGTTAGTGTAGAGGTTATGATTGTCCAAATGTGGTCAGTGGTGGAGGCCATCATTTCAGTATTTCTGGAGAATTTAGTAATTACGTATTTATTTGGGCAGAACCTGCCCAAAATGCTATACGTGTTAGTGGCCTTACAAGAATATAATAACATCAATGCTATGTTTTCTCATAAATCCAATGTACCTTCTTGTATATATATAAATAAATAAACAAATTATGGGTAGTAGCATGCAAGAATTCATACAGTTGAGGATGCTTGCAAATTGTGGGTTATCAGGTTGGCAGAGGTTAATATTAAAACACCCTGCTAGTATAACAGTACAGAGGAACCTCGTGTGATGAGCAGCCCCATCTATGAGTATATCAAGTACCGAGTGGCTCAGATAATGAGCGAGCCACTCACAGAAAATTTTTCTCGATAGACGAGCTTCCGCTCCATTAATGTGAAAACCATGTGGTGCTTCCTAGCATTCCCGCTGGTTCTCCCAAATTCTCAGACGCCTCCAACAATGCAAATCAATGAATGTTTTTTTAAAAGATGCTAATGATGCTGGGATGTAAAGGTGTGACTGCTGTAATGTTGCAAAGCATTGATTTTTGTTTGTAGAATTAAAAAAAAAAAATTAAATTTGAAAAAAGAACAAATGTCAAAAGGTTCGTTCAGTTTATGTCAGGTAGGCTGCTCCATTTTTCTATAAAAAAATACAAAAATAAAAAAAGATTGAAAAAATTTGAAAAAAGAAAAAATGTCAAAAAGGTTCATTCAGTGTAAGTCAGGTAGGCTGCTCCAATTTTTATAAAAATACAAAAATGAGAAAATAAAAAATTGAAAAAAAATGAAAAAAGAAAAAATGTCAAAAAGGTTCATTCAGTGTAAGTCAGGTAGGCTGCTCCATTTTCTATAAAAGAAAAGAAAATTTTTAAAAATTAAAAAAAAAGAAAAAATGTCAAAAAGGTTCATTCAGTGTATGTCAGGTAGGCTGCTCCATTTTCTATGAAAAATAAAAAAAAAATTGAATATCATATTGATGTTTTTTGGTGGTGAAACGGATTAATTTTATTTCCATTATTTTAAATGGGGAAATTGGTTTCACATGACGAGCTCGGTGCCAGAACGGATTAAATTCGTTAATCGAGGCTCCTCTATAGTTGACTTTTGTCAAGTTTGTTGCTTAATATTAAATTTCTGAGGTTAGGGTTAAATGCAGTTACATCTGTGTTAGGGATTCTGTGTACCACTTTGACTGTTAGGTTCGTCTTCAAACCAATGATTTTGAACTGGGCAAAGATATACTCTCCAGAGAGGTCTCTAGTTCTAATAAGATTTGAGCATGATAGCTTTTGGTAGTATTAAATTACAGTGCCACTGCCTGTCTGGTTTGGTCTACAGTTAAGGATAGCTGAGTAAATGGATATGTTAAACTGTTGAGTTGAGTCATCTTTTAACCAGGCTTCTGTTAGTATAAGAAAAGAGAATTTGTTTCTCAGTGCTTGCAGTAAGGCACTAACATCATCATCATCGTGTCTGCCTAGAAATCTTACATTTAAATTAATTACTGATACATTATAGTAATTTACTAATACATTGTTGGCAAGGTTCATTAAATGAATGTTGTTGAATTGTGTGTTGTCTGGAGCACATATGTAGTTGTGTGTTATCTGATGCATATATGTAGTTTTGTGCTATCTGGACCACATGAGCAGTTGTGTCGTGTTGTGACATAGCTGGAGATTTAATTATTTTGCATTTGTACATAAAGTACAAATGCAAAATGGTCTCCCACGTAACCACTTGTGAGGCCTGGTCGAAAACCGGCCCGCGGGGTCGTTGATCCCCAGAAGCTACACAAGGTAGCCACAGTATGTTTAAAATTTGGTAATTTTATTTAGTTTGTTATTGCAGGGCTTTGGTGTAGTGGAGTGACGACAGGCACTGTATGCATCCACACACTAATTGCAGCACTTAGAGATGCACGTGATTGTCTTCCCCGAGCCACTGCAGCTCTAATACTGGCCCCACTTCTTTTAGCAGCAGCTACGCCATCAGTTACCAAGGTAACCACTATTGGGTACAATTTGTGAGCTCATACAAACAGCCAACAAGCTAGTATGCTTAATCCATATCCATTGCTGTGGTTATAACCATTGCTGACCAGGTAACCAGTTAGACTCATCATTCTGGCTATATCCATGCCATTAGAAAGTGCTGTTTTATCAAATGTAGTAGCTGCTGTCATGCTTTGTGATAAAAGTTAGTAAATGTATTAGATTTGATGTCAACTGATTCTTTCCATTTACTTAACCCATCATTTCTTGTAGATCGTAATATAGTGTTTCTTTTCTGTAGAATCCATCATATCCAGGATGAATTGAAAGAGTACAAGCAGCCCTTGCTTTGTGTGGGGTTGGAGAAAATGAATATAGAGAATTAGTACATGACTATATCCTCTTTATACAAAGTTTAGAAAGAAGTAGGTTACTTATTGTTTTACAGAGATTGAACAAGGTCTCAAGTGATCCACCCTAGCTGTTTCTAGTGGCCTGCATGACACGGTGATGATCCTGCTACCCTTTGCTCCTCATGGGCATGACAGTTTCTGGGGGAAGCCCCATCAGCCTCCTGCAGCTAATGGACTGAAATCTGCCATATTAGGGTAGAGCATCAGTTACCGGAGTCCTTATGCCTACCGGAAACCACGAGCCAGAACCTGGTTCCCTCAGAGAGGCGAAGGGAGCAATGGCTTATGAACACTCCACTTTTGAGAATACTGTAGTCATACCTGCCATCGACCGGAAGTATCACCTAGAAAGGTAGGCGAACCATTACAAGCCCCAGCTGGTAGAACATTGTAACCAAGACTGAACATAGTCTAAGAACTCGCCCCAAGAGAAAACAACAAACAAGCAAATGTCCACCCAACCAGCGCACCCGCTCGTTAGTGACCCCCCTACCCGGAGGGGTGTCCCATCTAGGTGGTCCAAGTGCTCACACTGGCAGTTCATCGACTGATGCCGTATAGAGCTGACGTTACCTCTGACCTCACTCTCCTGCAGAATTTTACCCTGTGCAGTTGTGCCAGCTGTGTGCCTAATTATTGCCCTTGTGCCCATGATGTGCGAAAGTTTGTAGCTCTTGCTGCAATTTTTGGCAACATGTCTTGGGCTGACATTTGGGCATGAGGGTTTTGCAGGTTGAACAGGGTCCTGGCTGCCTGTAATCTTGAGTGTTCCAGGCCCTCGGCAGCCTTGTGTATTCACCTAGTCGTGCTTGCAGGGGTTGAGCTCTGCTCTTTCCGCCCTCCTCTCAACTGTCAATCAATCAACTGTTGTTAACTACTATTTCTTCTGAAGGGAGCCCCTTCAGCTCCCTGGAGCTTATCGGGCTAATGTGTTTTATATTAGACCGGGACATTAGCTATGGAGTTTAGACCTACCAGGGACCATGAGCCAGAACCTGGCCCCTTCAGAGAGGTTTCAGGGAGCAATGGCCATGGAAAACCCCCCCTGTGGTTGGGGTTTTCCTTATCTGCCATCGACCGGGGGTTAGGCACCCAGAAAGGTAGGCAGAACAAAACAAACCCCACATGGTAAGAAACTAAAACAAAAACCGAACAGAGAGGTAGAACTCCCTTCAATCCAATGGAAACAAGAAAACAAGCAAACGTCACACTCTACTGATCTACTGACCGCTGCTCGTCCGCACAGCCCTCCCCCTCCCTGAGAGGGGGAGGGTGGGGGTCCCGGACTTCACCGCGCTGGCTGCATAGCACTCCAGTTCGTAAGCTAATGTCAATCGGGACAGATGCTTCTCTGGCCTCAAATTCCTAGGCGGTGTTTGCCTGTGTGGCGTTCTCTGCTGTATTATTGTGGTGTGTGGTGGCCAGGAGTACCTCTTCAGTGCCGGGGGCTGCATGTGCTTAGGGGCTTCCTTCCCTTAGCACCCTGTGAGTACTGCCCCTGCATGTCAGGGTTCTCTTCCCTGGGGCGTTCGAGAACCGCTCCCGTGGGGATTCTTGCTGCTCGGCAATTACCTCTACCTTGGGGTCAGCTGGGGCTTGGGGCCCTTGTTTGGCCTTGGGCAGGGAAGTGGTGTTATGCTGGTTAGGGCATCAAGGTGCTGTGCGACCTGCCACCTACGCAGCGACCAGTTCCTGTTGCCTCTGGGGACAGTGTACTTTTGGGCGGTTTTTCTTTTCTCTTGTTTTCGTTTGCCTGGTGGGGGTCTGCCTAGTGGGACAATAGTTTCCTGATACTGTACTGTTTTGGTGGTCCTCTGCTAGCCAACAGTTGAGGGCTCTGTGGCCCTCAACTGTTCCTCATAAGTGAGTTGACTTAGCTCTGGAATGATTTTTGTTGCCCGGTGTTGCACTTTCTCCAGAGCAGCTATGTCCTTCTGAAACTGAGGTCTCCATGTTTGGATACAGTTATCCAAATGGGGGTGCATTGGAGATTTATACAGTTGAACCATTACCTTCTTTTCCTTATAGTCAAAAGTATGCTTGATTATCCCAAGAGTTTGGTTAGCTTATTTTACTACTGCACCCGCACCCATCTGTTGTGCAACTTTTAATGAGTGGTGGATTTTGACTCCATATTTTTCATCAATCTGCTATAATGTAATGCTATTAATTTGGTAGTCGTGGTGTGGGTTATGCTCCACATGCATGGTCTTGCGTTTGTCGATATTAAAAAGCATTTGCCAGTCTACTGACCATTTGTGGAGTTCATGTAGATTTCTTTGTAAGGCTTCAATATCATTATCATTTCCCACTTTACCATAAAAAGTGGCAAGTGGTAAATACATTTATATTATACAGCCATGTCTTCTTTTATACTGTATGTACATTAAATGCTGCTTGTGACTAGGAGGGCTCATGAATGTAGCTCTATTTTACCCAATATACAGTACCTTTGATTTGCATTGGTTTGGGTTTTACAAACATTTCAGAGGAATGCAACCTTCATGCAAATTGAGGGCTGCCTGTACCTTGTTTATATGTGGAAAGCATTGATTTGTAGACATTAAAGTTTATTCTTTTGTATGTACAGGTACATTACATTCTTGTAACATAGGAAGAATATTTACATATTAGATCTCTTCATTAATATGCTGTTTGTTAGATAGATAACATGACTAAATTGTAGAGTAAACTGACACTGATGGGTTGAATACAGGGTGGAGCTGCTGTTGTAGCCCTGCTGGATGGCGATGTCTTGACCCTGGTAGTGTTGTGGCCACCGTTTACACTTACTCTTGCCATTACTATTATTTACGGTAAGTACATGTAGCTGCTCTTGACACACTTAATATCTTATTATTATAACTGTACTGTTTTTTAGGAGGGCTCCCTTTGGTGGCTCTCCAAGCTACCTCGTGCTTGGATACCTCCAAGCCGAGAGTAGTCCATCAAGCTCTTGTGAGTAATGAGCCCCTCTACCAGAGACTGGGACCAGAAATGTGGGCCCCCTCAATAAAGTCGAGGGGAATCTTGGGATACTAGATCATCCCAGGCCAAAATAAAAAAATAAAAAAAGTAGAGTGCCTCAAAACAAGCAACTGTATGACAACATTGGTAACCCTGATACAAACTATGACAGGATTCATTATCCAGACCCAACTCACCCACCACCAGATGGCAACTTGGACCCACCTGCTTGCTGCACACGTCAGTCATGGGCCTCATGTGGTTGTGTTGCTAGCTCATAGTACTGTTCCTGCTCTTCCTGCCCGTACTTAACTTAGTTTTGACTATTCTTTAGGACTTTGTCCTGTGTATGTATTTGTTTCAGTTTTCTGGGAAGGCTGTGAGAAGATTCCATGTTGCTATCTACTCTGGTTATCTCCTCACCTATCCAGCAATATCAGGCTTACACTACACTACACTACACTACACTACATTTTTCTTCATAAGGCTCTTGTGAGCCAATGAGAACCTACCAGGGACCAGAGGCCAAAACCTGGACCCTTTGCAGAGGTAAAAAGACACCTGAAGGAACTGGATGTAGCAAAAGCAGAAGGGCCAGACCAGGTATTACCATGGTTACTGAAAGAAGTTGCAGGGCTTTTGTGTTACCCACTAACCCCTAATGTGCAGCTAAGGAAATACTGTACATGCATGGGAGGAATCAGACACCATGTTTACTAATACTAAAAACAATTATGGCATCACTACTGTCTCATTAACTCTCACTGAAATGAATGGAGATGTGCAAATGGTACCCTTATTCTACCCCCTTATTGCCAGATCTGGTCATGATTTTAGTAGCAGTTAGGTGATATTTGGTTGTTAGGTTGAGTGATGTTTATGGTGTACATCTGGTAGTGGGTCATGGAGAGGTGGGCACAATCAAATTGGATGACATATTAGTTGATTTTGGTTACATTTCACTGTGATTTATGGCATGTTAGGTTTCTGTGCACTTATCATTTCATGGACAACAGCTAGGCCATTTAATGCAGGCTAGAGATGGAAGCATCACAAAATGTTCTGCCAATTCCAGTGTACTTAGGATATTCTCTTACCATACTTATTTTCAGAATATAATTATGCCTCACAGATAATAAGATATTTTAGTAAATTTATTTACTGATGCCTTATACAACTTTTAATGCTCCCTTATGTAATATTAGGAGTAACAATACACTACATACTGTAAATTCTGTGTATATTTACCTCACCTTTAATTCATTGAGTAAGTAGTCTAACAAAATTAACATGTTAATTGTGATGAAAATACATACTCAGTATAAATTATTAGATTGAGTTTCCATATTAAGCCATTTTGTTGATTTTATTGATTACAGTCCTTTTGTGAACACTTAAACAAAAATGTATTACTTTTCAGGAATACACAAGGTTCGCAAGGACTTCACTTTCATGCTTGAGGCAACAGTCAGCTTGCTATGGATTCCATTGTGGGGTGTCTTTATCCCTCTGACTCTTCTGGTAGGTACTATGTGCTTATACTAAAAAAATTTAACATCTATATGCACTGGTGTAGGCAGCTAATGCTCCGCATAGGTTTGAAGAATACAGATTTGGTGATATGTGGTTAACAAATGTGAGAGAGCATTTCTGGGCTGGCCCCTAAGTACTATTGCTATCTGGTGCATTTATAATTTCTTTTCTGGGGGGTGCCCATAGAGCTCCCTGAAACTAACAGACTGATATCTATTATATTAGTCTAGAGCATCAGTTAATTGGAGTCTTGAGCGTACAGGGAACCACTAGCCAGAACCTGGTTCCCTCAGAGAGGCGAAGGGTGCAATGGCATATGAGCACTCCATTTTGTGAGTGGAGTGTCCTGGGGTTCGTTTTGTTCGGTTGTGATTGTCTCCTTCTTTTCTAGCGAAGAATGAGACGGCGGGCTTCTGGAGGGATCCTGTGGGTTATTGATGCTTGGTTGGCCAGGACAGGGGTGCATTATGTTTTGTGTCCAGTTTCGGCTCTCCGCCGTTATCCGCCCACCTCGGGTTCTGTGTTCGGGGATGCACTTTGGGTAGATGCACGGGGATGCAATTCGGAGTCCCTCATTCCCTGTTCCAGGGCTTGGGTCTCTCAGGTCATCCGCAGAGTTCTCAAGTCTAGCCAGCCTACTGTCTACCCTCGTGCCCATGATACACACAAGTTTGCAGCTCTTGCTGCACTTTTTGGTAATACAGCCATACCTCAGTTTAAGAGTTTAATTGGTTCCTGGAGACGCCTCGTATTCCGAAAACTCGCATTCCGAAGCTAAATTCCCCATAAGAAATAAAGGGAAATGAATTAATCCGTTCCTGACTACCCCAAAAACCCCACATCAAACTAAATTTTTATACCTAATTCATCTAAATAAACCTACAAAACTATGTTCCAGTTATTACTTACCTTGCTGTTGAGTGCTGTAGGCGTATGGAAGATTGTGAGGAGGGGGGAGGAGGAGTTACTGTTTGGAAGGGGAGTCCCCTTCCATTATCACATCAGGCAGTCCTGGCAGGCATCAGTCCCCCTTCCTGGCTTTCTCACAAATAATGGCCTCCGTAACACTGTCACCCCTTAACTCCTTGTCGTGTATCCAAATTAATAACAACTTTTCCACTTCTTCAAGTATTTGTGGTCTTTGTTTCGTTATTGTTCTGACTCCTTTTGCCACTTTAGCACTCATAATCTCATTTTTCTTCTTAAGTATAGTGCATATTGTTTATGTGGCTTTGTTGTACTGCCTACAAAGTTCAACAACACGTGTACCGTTCTCATGTTTCCAAATGATCTCTTGTTTCTCCTCTATTGTCATCCTCACATGGGCTTTCTGGCCTTTATCCTTACCACTGGTTTTCTTGGGACCCATGGTGAGATATATAACAAATTGTATAGTCAAATCACCAAAAATCCAACAAAACACTGAAAATCCGCGAGAAGAATTGATGTGGGATAGTCACTGGGCACGAGACAATGGTAAACTGAGGGGCGAAGGGGTGGAGGGGCGACGATCGGCGAACCACCACGCGCTAGGTCGGCCTGTACGTGTATCAACAAACTCGCGTCCCAAGGTAACCCTCGCCTTCCGAGACATATTTTTCGAGGAAATCCTGCTCGTCTTCCGAAAAACTCGCATACAGGGACACTCGCATTCCGAGGTACCACTGTATTAACAGTGGGCTGACATTCAGACACAAAGGTTTTGGAGGTTGAACAGGGTCCTGGTCGCCCGTTATCTTGTGAACGTTCCGGGTCCTCAGCGGCCTTGTGTGGCCTTGGACCATCGGTTGCAGCCAGTTGTCCCATCTTCGTCATGGGCATGTAGTGCTGCCGCCCTCCCGGGTAAGTCCCTTTTTTCCTTCTCTGTGGGTATATAGCATCAGGGAGCCATAGGGGTTCCCCCCAGAAAACCAGCACTTAATGTAATGAAATGCCATATTCTGGGTCGAGCCCTGGAGGTTCTCTTGACACCCTCTCTCCCTCCGGTCGGCGGTTTTTGTTGTCAGTCTCCAAACTGCTGGTGTCAGTGCTTGGTCACCCAGGCGGGGACCCCTCCCCATTCTGTAGGGAGGTGAGGAGTCGCTAATGAGCGGGCGCGCTGGTTGAATGGATGTTTGTTCATTGTTTCCTCTTAGGGGAAGTTCTTCAGCTCAGTTCGGTCTTGGGTTGGAATGTTTTACCAGTTGGGGTTAGTAATGGTCCTCCTACCTTTCTGGGTGATACCCTCGGTCGATGGCAAACATGACTATACTCTCACAAAGTGGAGTGTTCATATGCCATTGCTCCCTTCACCTCTCTAAGGGAACCAGGTTCTGGCTTGTGGTTCCCATTAGGCTCAAGACTCCAATTAACTGATGCTCTAGACTAATATAATGGACATCAGTCCGTTAGCTTCAGAGAGCCTCTGGGGCTCAACCCAGAAAATGACATTTCATTACATTCAATGCTGGTGTTATCAGTTAAGGTTTATGCTATTGCTTATAAAATAAGGTTAAATTTCAGGGTATCGTCATATGGGCTTGTATAATGGATGGACAAGCAGTTGCAGTTACTGATGGACCAGGATGGAGAACAGCCTTGGTGTGGGGACTGCGGGTATTGGTTTTGCTTCCTGTTCCAATAACTGCCATCTACGTGGTTAAATCTCAGCTAGCATACGGTGTCGTTGATGTACGTATTTTCTGTTTCACACATAAATCTGAATTAAATGCTATCTTTCTTGTGTAAAGTTTATATTTTGTACTTATGTTTTTATCAATGTACAGTATTTTTTTTTGGAAGAGCCCCCTCAACAGCTCCCCAAGCTTAATCACTGGTACTGCTAAATTAAGAAATTGCATGAGGTCTCTTGGGACCCCACCCTAGCCTACTGGGAGCCAGAACCGTAATCTGTTTGTAGGAAAGCAGTAACCCTGTGGTAAGTAAGGTTATTGTTACAGAGTAACTAACCTATGATAATAATAGTAATAATAATTTATTCACAAGAAGGTACAATGGATTGGTGAGATTACGTAAGATTGGTATTTGTACATTCTTGCAAAGCCACTAACACACATAGCATTTCGGACAGGACCTTAATCTAACATATCAGGTAAGATGAAAAGGTACATTGTAGCAAGGTTTTATATCAACAAATAACTACAATATAAATTGACAGAGGTGATTACACTGGTAAAAATCCCTGGTAGTAAGCCAACTTTCCCTGGTAGTTGGCTTGCATCTCCCTTGCCCCATTACAGTTACATGCTTTGAGGGAATTCGGGTTCTTCCTTCATAGAGTCACTCCCCTTGAGTCACCTCACCTCCAAGCAATGTGTGGGATTTGCTCTCCACTGAGAAGCTTTTTGATTGGAACTGGTAGCAGTTAACTGTGTGCCTGTGTTACTATCATACCTGGCTCTGCTCTGTGTTTGTTAGACCTAGCACTTTAGCTGAGGGTTTGTTTGGGTTTTGTTAGTGGTTATTCTTGTCCGTGGCTTTATATGCATTCCTATGTTGTTTACAGTTGGGATTTGGTGTTGGCTTAGCAGAGATACTTCCCTTGCACCTAGTATACATTTCTCTCTATGTGACAGTCCAGGTAATCTGTATCTCTTGTTTGTTTGGGATTTCCTTCTCATCTGTGTTGTTAGTGGTGTTATGGATTCTCTGTCCAAATTCGTAACTGCAATTAGCAATTTACCATCATTCTGCTAGCTGGTTGCAGGGCTGCCCTCTTGCTGTTCTTGTGGGCTGTTGTAAAACTACCCTTTTAGTGGCAGTTGTAAGTCTAAGAACTTGCTTCCTTGTGTGTTCTTGCTTTACTGTTCAGGCCTTTCCAGTCCCTACCTGCTGAAGAGGGCATGTTGTTACTCTTAAGTACACACTGCAGGCCCCTCATGCTCCTGCTTTGGTTTGAGTTCAGCATTTTCTTTAGGTTTCCTGAATTTTCCCATTGGGTGGGACTTCATGTGGCTTCAGTTTGAGTGCACTCATTTCTTAAAGTGCTTGTGCAAGTTACGGCAGCAATTGGGGCTGTTCCCTCCTGGGTTTTAACAGCAGCTTCAAAGTCTACCTTTGTTCTGGCAACTGGTTTCATGGTGTGTTTCAAGGGGAGACTATATGCCCCTTGGGATGCTCCAGGTGACATTATGTTGTTTGTTGACCTGGTGTTCCCTGGCCTTTGCTTTAGAGGCTCATTTGTCTCAGGCCATTCACAGCATCATCAAGTTTAGCTAGCCTGCAGTCTACCCTTGGGCCCATTATGTGAACAAATTTGTGGCTTTGTCCCTTGTGTTTGTGAATATATCTTGGAGTGGATATTCAGACTTGGAGGTTCTGACATTCTAACAGGGTTTTGGCAATTCATTACCTTGTTAATGTGCCTGGGCCACACTAGGCACTAGGCTTGTGTGGCATTGGGACAGGTTTCCCATCACTGATTCCCCTTCATTTAGGGTTATTGGCTTCTACTCTCCTCCACCCCTGATGAATTTCCCCATTTTCTGTTTTGTTGTCTGTGGCGAGAGAGCAAAAAGGAGCCACCAAAAGAACAATCCCCAGAAAACCAGTGTTGAATGTAATGAAACATTTTCTCTTGTGGGTCCTCAGTGGATCCCTGGACCCTTTACCTTCAGTGTGTCGCTTTTTGCCCCTTGGTCGGCTCTTGAATGATTAGGATACATTTACTAAGCCTGTAGCTGCTGATGCTGCCACCTGGTGGTGGGCAGCTGCTACTAGAGGGAGAATGAAAAGGGAAAAAGGGAACTTATGAAAACAAACATTAAATGTAAAATGTAATGAAACCCTCTTTTATGGTGATCTTCTCAGTAGCTCCCTGAACTTAATTAAGCAATTGGATCATTGTTTTTGCGTAGGTGTAAAGTGAACATAGATGTAATGAGGGCATTTGCAAATATTAAGTAAATTCTAATTTGTTTTTGTACACAGAAAGTGGCTTCATCACTGCAGTCATCTCGAGAATGGGGTGATTGGGGGCCTCAGGATCCAATCGAACATCATAACTGGAGAAGGTGGCGGGAGGATGAAACAAGGCCTATTACCTCCCTCAAACGTCGCTTTGCAAATCGACCACTCACATACACTCATTCTACCCTAAGCAGTGAATCTTCATCAACTCTGACAAGACTACGGAATAAATATCAGAGAAATGGTACGGCAAGCATCCTCTGACCACCTTGTGTGTCTATAGTCATCAAGGCTTACTCTGACCACCTTGTGTATCTATAGTAATCAAGGCTTACTCTGACCACCTTGTGTCTCTGTAGTCATCAAGGCTTACTCTGACCACCTTGTGTATCTATAGTAATCAAGGCTTACTCTGACCACCTTGTGTGTCTATAGTAATCAAGGCTTACTCTGACCACCTTGTGTCTCTGTAGTCATCAAGGCTTACTCTGACCACCTTGTGTGTCTATAGTCATCAAGGCTTACTCTGACCACCTTGGGTTGTCTCGGTATTCATCAAGACATGCTCTGACTACCATGTGTCATCTTGGTAGTCATCAAAGCATCCTCTGACCACCATGTGTCATCTTGGTAGTCATCAAAGAATCCTCTGATCACCCTGTATCGTCTTGAGAATCATTAAGGTATATACTCTGACCACTTTGTGTCGTCTTGGAAGTCTTCCAGGCATCCTCTGACCACCTTGTGTCATCTCGGTAGTCATCAAAGCATACTCCAACCAGCCTGTGTCATCCTGGTAATCAAGAAGGTATCTTCTGATCACCTTGTGATGTTTTGGTAATCAAGGCATCCTCTGACTATTTTGTATTATTTTATTAATCATGAAGGTATCTTCTGACTACCTTGTGATTTTTGGTAGTCAAGCTAGGCTTCCTCTGAGCACCTTGTGTCACCTCGGTAGTCATCAAGACATGCTCTGGCCACCTTATGTCACCTCAGTAGTCATCAAAACATGCTCTGGCAACCTTGTGTCACCTCAGTAGTCATCAAAACATGCTCTGGGAACCTTGTGTCAGCTCAGTAGTCATCAATACATGCTCTGGTCATGTTGTGTCATCTCTGTAGTCATCAAGGCATTTGTAGACCATTCTGTGTCATTTTAGTAATCATTAATGCATGCTCTGACCACCTTATGTGTTGGTAGTCTTCGAGATAATTTTGATATTAATGTAAGTCATTTTCTGGAGGAAGCCCCTTCGGCTCCCTGGAGCTAACCGGGGTGATATGAATGTATTAGACCCTGGCATCAGTCAATGTGCATGGAGTACTAGGCCTACCGGGGAGCAATGGCCTATAGAAACCCCCCGTGTGGTTGGAAGCATTCTATGTCTGCCATCGACCAGGTCAGGCACCCAGAAAGGTAAGCGCCCCAAAACAAACCCCTATTCTGGTTAAGAAATTGCTACTGAAAGCCCCTGGCCGGGGCTTTCAGTAGCAATTGAAGTAAGTACAATCAAGTAAGCCTTGATTGGACAGAGGCGTGGTGACATGGTGACGTCATGCTCATTTGCTTGTTTTCATTTGGGGAATTCTGTCCATTAGTATAGCTTTCAGTAGAAATTTCTTAACCAGAATAGGGGTTTGTTTTGGGGCGCTTACCTTTCTGGGTGCCTGACCCGGTCGATGGCAGACATAGAATGCTTTCTTCGAGACATACAAACATGGGGGGTTTCTACAGACCATTGCTCCTCGTACCTCTCTGAGGGGGCTAGGTTCTGGTTCGTGGTCCCCTGTAGGCCTTGAATTCCATGTGCATTGACTGATGCCAGGGGTCTAATACATTCATATCAGCCCAGTTAGCTCCAGGGAGCCTCTGGGTCTCACCCAGAAATGGGTGTTTCATTACATTTAACTGTTTTTTTATATGCACTTTTTCTAATTCTGAAAAAAGTCTTGTTCCTCTCAAGTTCTTCAGATTTTGATGTGTTGTGAGTGTGTCCTACAGCGTTTCTCTTGCTTTCTGTTAGTCTGTTTTTAGAGCAATAGTAAATATGTTTTTAGATTGATTTCATTTGTTGTTATTTATGTTGCTTTTTTATTTATATATATATATATATATATATATATATATATATATATATATATATATATATATATATATATATATATATATATATATATATATATATATATATATATATATATATATATAAATAATTTATGCTGTGAATTGTTGTATTGTTTAATTTGTTACCTATATGATTATTGTAATACAGTATAAGTAAATGTGCAAGTTGAATAATCTGGTCATTTAGGAACATAAGAATAAAGGTAACTGCAGAAGGCCTATTGGCCCATACGAGGCAGCTTCTGATATTAATTACAGCTCTATTTGATATGCTTACAAATATTACAAATGTATTTCTTGAAATAATGTTTTACCTGAAGGTTAAGTTATTATTGTCAAAATTAAAAATCAATGTTAGAACAGTAATTACTTATAGTTTAAATTTTGTTTTTTAATCTTTTTGATAGTTTTGCATTAGTAGATGAACATGTAACACCTTGACAGAAAGCAGAGTTAAGAATCTAGAACATAAGAACATAAGAATTAGTAGATGAACAAAACTATAATTATTTAATTATGTAATATTTAATGAGTGTCTTGTTATTCCCTCCTTCCCTCCAAGTACTCAAACCCCAGGGAGAAAAAATGCACTGATGATGCAAATATTTATATAGATCAAGGCAAAAAATTATTGACCCAATACCCTATTTGTATGAATATATGCAATATTTTTGTTCTCTTAGCTAATAAAATGCCAAAAGTATAGGTATTGCCTAAAATAGAATGCAGAGCATATGAAAACTATGTGTGCGCACTCTCTCGCCATCTTTGACTAGTTACTTAAACTCAAATGGTCACCACAGAAATTACCACTTCACCGAGTCAGCCGACGTCCACGTCCAAGCAAAGTAAGACCTGATCATTCATCTCTCCCTTTATCCCAGGTTACTCTCTCATTATTAGTGATAAATGCGCGCATTTTTTCCTGAGGTGCCACTCCTCCCCTCCCTCAAAAAACACTCACTCTTTTACCCTTGAACAGTAAAGTGGAAACTGAACATCAATAAAATGGAAAAGGTGCAAAGGTATGCTACAAAATGATTTCCAGAACTAAAAAACATGAACTACGAGTAGAGGCTAGAGGTGTTAAATATGCCATAGCTAGAAGACAGAAGTAAAAGAAGCAATATGACCGCTAGATAAAAAATAGTAACAGGAATCAATAAAATTGACAAAGAGGAATTCCTGAAACCAGTAACCTCAAAAACAAGAGGTCAGAGATTCAAGCTAATGAAACAAAAACTGCCAAAAAAATATTAGAAAATTTTCTTTTGAAAACAGAGTGGTAGAAGATTGGAACAAGTTCAGTGAGAAAGCAGAAAACTGTCAATAGTTTCAAAGCATCATATGCAAAGAATACTGGGAAGACGGACCACCATGAGTGTAGCTCTCATCCTGTAACTATGCTTAGATAATTACATGAAATGGATTCTGTTACCATCATTAACCATTTTGTTGTATTTGTGTCTAACTTCAGATACAGTTGTCTAAAAAAGGTTGAGTACATTTAAGAATGGTACTCAAAGAATTAATGTTTCAAGTTTGGAGGGTACAACCTGATTTGCAAGAGGGGGTGTGTGGGGATTCCAGTGTGAGCCCTCCCCAGAAATGAGAGGCCTTCAGCAAGGTGAAAAGGAACCCCTGTTTAGAGAGAGAGGGAGGGTGGGTGGGAGTGAAAACACTGGAAAATCTGTAAGGAGGGCAGAGGGTAAGTGGACTGAACCACTCGGGGCGTTTGCTAAAGTGTGCCTGCCTGGGTGGGAGAGTGTGGCTCTACACCCTTTTCTACAAGCAAAAGGGGCAGCTGTGTAAAGTGCATTCCTATTTCCCATCCAGAAGGGGGTGTTGATTGTATCACTCTGCATCTGTTGATCACCTGGGCTACTGCAGTTATGGCATTTGACAATTATTGTTATTACTGCCTAGCTTGCATATCAATGATGTTAACATGGTTATAATAACTAAATGAATGCAATGGAGTTAGCAAAGATCTATAAAAACATTATAATCATGATATTGTTGTGTAATTGCTTACTATCTGATAAGGTTAACATGTACTAGGGATCTGCGATTATTATCAATGACATTGTGGTCTTTACTACCAGTATCAAAATTCATGCCTGGGCAACATTCTCAAAAAGAATTGCCTATTTAATGAAGACATAAATCCTCAGGAATATTTGACAAACTGCCGGCTTCTTGCACCCATCAAGACCACCAGAGATGGTGGCCTTCTTGTAAAAAAAAAAAAAATCAGGTAAATAGGAGTTTTTTACCTCATACCATTGTGTCAACATCTCTTGGGCATGTGGTGTCAAAAAGACACAATTACTGTACTGTCGCCTCTTATCATGTGGCAATGGCGGAGCCACTCCAGCTTGCATTCAGGGTGGTTGTTACTTCCTCCCCGTTTCGTAAGCTTTCTCGTGCTTTGTTTCACCTCTGGCCTGCTCATGCACCGCCTGAGCCATCCTGGTCCTTGGACTGAGTGCTCTCTTTTCTCTTTTCTCTTTAGTTTGTGGTGGCCCCTTTGGCTCAATATTGTTTTTCCAAGGCTCTATTTCTGTTGGCCTCTTGGGGTTGGATTGGTGAGCTTCATGCTCTCCTCTGGTGCAGGGGTTTCTGTTCTTTTGGTCCTGGTAGTCAGTTTGTTCAGTTGCAGCTGTCTCCTTCTTTTCTGGCGAAGAACGAGATGGCGCCTTTCCGGAGGGGCCCTTGGGTCATTGATGCTTGGTTGGTCAGGCCGGGGATGCATCATGTACTAGTATTGTGTCTGGTTGAGGCTCTTCACCATTATCTGTGCGCTTCGGCTTCTGTGACCAGGGAAGCACTTTGGGTTGATGCAGTTTCCCTCGTTCCTTGTTCCAGGGCTCAGGTCTCCCAGGTCGTCCGTAGGGTTATTAAGTCTAGCCAGCCTGTGGTCTACCCTCGTGCCCATGACATTTGAAAGTTTGCTGCTTTGGCTGCCGTGTTCGGCAACATGTCTTGGGCTGACTTTCAGGCACAGGGGTTTTGGAGGTTGAACAGGGTCCTGGCCGTCCATTATCTGGTCAATATTCCTGGTCTCGGTTGTTCTTGTGTGGCTTTTGGGTCGCAGGTTGCAGCTAGTTGTCTCGACTTCGAGTTGATGTGCACTTGGCGGCCGCCTCCCGGGTAAGTCCCTCTTTTACTTGTCTTTGGTTATGTAGCTCCAGAGACCGAAGGGGCTCCCCACAGAATACAAGCATTGAATGTAATGAAATAGCATTTTCTGGATGAACCCTGGAGGCTCCCTGGCACCCTCCCTCCCACCAGTTAGCAGTTTCGTTTTGCTTTTGATGCTCATCCTTCGAACTGAAGGTGTGAGTAGCTGGCATGGGGGGTCTGGGGCTTCCTCCTACCTCCTCCCCCCTCCTGGGGAGGGGAGGGGAGGGATGCGCAGACTAGTGGCGCAGCTGTGGTGAACGACGTTTGCTTGTTTGCTTGTTTCCTCACATTTTTAAGGGAGTTCTGTCTCTCTGTTCGGTCTTCAGTTGTGCAATTTCTTACCAGATGGGGCCTGTTTTGTTATGACTTCCTTTCCGGTCAATAGCAGATATGGAATGCTCCCAAACACATGGAGGTTACTATAGCCCATTGCTCCCTGTACCTCTCTGAGGAGGCCAGGTTCTGGCTCATGGTCCCCGGTAGGTAGAACTCCATTGACTGATGCCCCAGATTAATATAGCGTATGTCAGTCCGATAGCCCCAGGGAGCCTCCGGGGCTCGCCCAGATAATTGTGCATCTAACTGCTCAAATCTTACCCTGTGTAAAGTTTGCATTTTTGATGTAAGCATGAGGAGACTTGACTGAAGTGTGAAGAGCATTGAGTGAAGAGTAAGGAGTCTTGACTGAAGGATGAGGAATCTTGAATAAGGAGTGAGGAGTTGTGAAGCCTGATACAGATTTACTTGCTAACGAGGGTTTCATAAATGTATTAGGTTGCTTTAGATATTAAAAAGGAAGTTATTAGACATATCAGCTGTTACTTTAGTTTTTTTGTTTTTTTTACTAAAATGATTGTTTACATCCTCTCCTTTTTTTCTTATTTCATAGTGGAAGCAAGTGGTGACAGCTTCAACAAACACTTGTAGCCACAGTGCAAGTGTTTACAGCTTCAACAAACACTCACAACCATCATGCAAGTAGTGACAGCTTCAGCAAATACTTGTAGCCATATCCAAGTGGTGACAACTTCAACAA